ACCAAGTGGGAGTGTGGCATCAAAACCCTTCAGCTTTGGTAGTGGTGCAGCACCAACAACAACAGCAGATAAACCAGCGGCACCATCAAATCCCTTCAGCTTTGGCAGCGGTGCTGCGCCAGCAACAACTGCAGATAAACCAGCGGCACCATCAAATCCCTTCAGCTTTGGTAGTGGTGCTGCGCCAGCAACAGCAGATAAACCAGCAGCACCATCAAATCCCTTCAGCTTTGGTAGTGGTGCTGCGCCAACAACAACTGCAGATAAGCCTGTGGCACCATCAAATCCCTTCAGCTTTGGTAACGGTGCTGCGCCAGCAACAACTGCAGATAAGCCTACGGCGCCATCAAATCCCTTCAGCTTTGGTAACGGTGCTGCACCAACAACAACTGCAGATAAGCCTGTGGCGCCATCAAATCCCTCCAGCTTTGGTAACGGTGCTGCGCCAGCAACAACAGATAAGCCTGCGGCACCATCAAACCCCTTCAGTTTTGGTAACGGTGCTGCACCGAGTCCGATAGCGGGTGTGGGATCAGCAGATAAGCCATCAGCACCATCAAATCCCTTTAGCTTTGGCAGCGGTGCTGCACCAACAACAACAACTGCAGATAAGCCTGTGGCACCATCAAATCCCTCCAGCTTTGGTAACGGTGCTGCGCCAACAACAACTGCAGATAAACCAGCAGCACCATCAAATCCCTTCAGCTTTGGCAGTGGTGCTGCACCAACAGCAGCAGATAAGCCTGCGGCACCATCAAACCCCTTCAGTTTTGGTAACAGTTCTGGAGCACCTGCAGATAAACCAGCAGCACCACCAAATTCTTTTTTTGGAGGGGGTGCGGGTGCTTTTGCCAAGACAAGTGTTTTTGGTTCCAAAGGTGCTGATAGAACGTCTTCAAGTACTTTTGCTAACTAGGTTTTGTGTATGTAAAACGTGAATAAGTGATGTATTGATAAATTTTGTGGTGGAGATAATTCCATGGATTACTGAAGCTAAAACCAAGGTTATTTTATCTGCATCATCTCGCTTCTCTTTTTTATTTTTATTTTAAGAGTAAGCTTCGTGTACTTAAATTTACAGGAATGCGCTCTGTAGCCTCCCGTAGGGAGGAAATACAAAAAAAAATTCAACTACTCCGAGAAGAAAAAGCGAGAGAACAAAAAGCGTATGATGAGATTCTTGCAAAAGGTGTTAATATGACTCCTGCTGAGATTGCTGAGGCTGCACGTCAAAAAGCAATCGAGGAAGAGCCCACAAGCATGAATGTTGGCGATACAACTATTTCTGTTGGAGATTATGTGCACACTGTCGATGATCTGCATACTTTACTTACTGCAGAAAAAGGCATTTTCATTCCTGATCCTATCAAACAAGTTTACTTGGGGGAGAAGGGGAAAGTAACACGAGTTCTGCCATCATTTCAGGGTAAACCAGCCGTGGAGATGAGTTTCGCAGATGGAGCTCTTAAAATCTTTCTTACGGATTGTCTCTCACTTGGGCACAACAGCGTGAGAAGACGTCAACAGCAACAACAGAGAACTGTCTCAACGGCGGTAGAAGGCAAATCAAGTCATGTGGATCCAGTTACACTTCGCGTGCCGGAATATGTTCCGCCACCAAAGCCTGAGCCTTTGCCACAACCTACATGGGGTACCATTGAGATTCCTAAACGATCACCCAATCCAAAAGCGAATAAATCTGAAAAGAATTCAATTAAGACAATATCAACATCACCATCACCATCGCCATCGCCAGCAACAGGAACAGCAACGATGATTGAAACGACGGCCAAACCATTATTAATAGAATCTCCAACTATGGTGAATAGAGAAAAAAGGGTTAGCTCAAATAACTCATTTTCTTCAAGTGAACGAAAAAAAAGTGAATCAACCATCATGGGTAAGGTCAAGGGAAGAGATGTAGGAAGTTCACAAAATCACGCTCTTGTAGGGTTAAATACGAATACAGAAAAGACTATTGGTCTCGTAAAAGAAGTCTTGTCGAATCAGCGGAAAGGTGATTCTGCTGGTGAACACTTGGGAAGCCCACTGGAGTACGATGAGGTACCTCCAATGCCGTTAATTACTACTGGAGAACACGATAATCTTCTTAAAACACCCAGGGTTGATCTAATGTCGTACTCTCACTCGAAACGCTCAAATTATCCTGTAACTAATACCAGTAGTAGCACTCTTAATAGCGGACGCGGTATACCAACGAGTTGCCCCGCAAACTACAAGGCCCGCTTTTCTCTAAAAGACAAATCTACTGGAATTCCACGTTTTGGTACTAAACCAGCTTCTTCCGACACTATGCGCTGCAGAATTGCGGGTTTGACTCCAAATCAAACAGGTTTGCAGTTTGTACCCTTTCTTTTGGGTAAAGGTACAAATACGTTTGAGTCGTTATTATCTGATGTGACACAAACTCTGAAATGGCGTCCCATGGGTATTAATGCAAAACGTTTGTTTACGATAGACGGAGTGGAAATCACTCATGTGAATGAAATTCTGAGCGATATGTCTCTTGTAGCGACACCCGGACAGGCATACACTCCTAATTCAGCACCTGCAAAATCATCGATAGCTGCAACTGCGGTTAAACCAACAGTAAAATCAGTATCAATAGAATCCACACCATTGACTGAAGCCAAAAACAATCGATCTGTGAATGGAAAAACCTCTACAAATACTTCTGTACGAAACAAAGTAGCAGATAAACATAATCAGCGCCCACAAACAGTCAGTCCATCTACAAAATCACTTTCTTCCACTAATGGGTCTCAATCTCGTGAGGTATCGACAACGAAAGGTATATCAAAACCTATCTCTGTACGAGTATTCTCAAATGGGGAGTATGGAGATCGAGTAACAGATCGATTTCCATTTCGAACAGTGACACTTCGTCCAATTCATAAAACGATGAGGGCTATTCTTAATACGATAGAGCGCGAGCTTGAGTGGCATTCTATGGGGAAGAAAGTGGAGAGAATATTTGATGCCACAGGAGTTGAAATCACAAGTGTGGAAGAGTTGTACGATGGACAACCCCTCGTTGTATCAACTGGAGAGCGATTTATTATTCCTCACCCGACAAGTGTGTTACATGAGGATGTTATGAAACTTTCATCAGCCATTAATTTTTCTTCCTAAGCGATGCATGCAAATGCATAAAAAAAATGATGTAAGACTCTAGTGAACATGGAAAAGCGAACAAAAAGGGATTTGTTAGTGGTGTAGGTATACTGTTTTATTACTTGTGTTGGTATTTCTATTGTTTTTCTCTTAATATGCATTTCATGATCAAGTAAAAAGGGGTATAGATGATTTTCTTTTCTTTTTTTTTTTTGCGTTAGAATTCCTGCAGAAAAACGAATTTCAAAGGAAATGAAGAAGAGAACATCAACAAAGAAGAAACAGCGAAAAGGTACTTGTCGTGATTATTATTATTATTATTATTATTATTATTATTATTATTATTATTATTATTATTATTATTATTATTATTTTGGTGCTGCTCATCTCTCTGTAGCGGGTTTTTTTTTTTCCTCCTTTATTTTTCGTTCCTTCTCTTTTTTTCTTCCTATTTCTTTTTTTTGTTTCACTTTTCAGGGTTAGTTTTTTTTTTTTTTTCTTATTTCTTCTCCATTGCCGGGGCGGAGTTGTTGTTCATGTCTGTGTTCTGCGGGCCGACGAGGCCGCTGCGGGTGCCACCCCCTCAGGCACGTGACGACGTGGAGTCGAAGCGACTCTCCGATGCGATGAGTCGTCTCTCGTGCGGTAGTGCGGAGTGTACGATAAAACTTGTGGAGTCGGTGGCACAACGTTTGGTGGAGCAGGTGATTGCGGAGACGGAGGGTCGGTGGGTGCGGGCCTATCCCTTTGGATCCTGCGGTTTGGCTGCTTCTGTTGCAGATAGTGATATTGATATGTATGGTGAGTTCTTCCTATTCTCTACCCCCCTTCTTTATTCTTTCTGATTGTTTGATTGCATACATATATACAAGTGTGTGCGTGTCTGTCTTTGACCACCTTCATACTTTCCCTTTCTCTTGTAAGTTTCCCACCCCTCTCCCTTTTTTTTTTTTTTTTTTTTTTTTTGGAGGTTTGTTTTCCTCCTTTTCTTCTTTTCCACCTCTCTCTATCTCCCTCTCTCTTTTTTTTTCTAATTGCTTTTCTCTGGACAACATGGTAAAAAAAAATATATTTCTTCTCTCCTTCTTTTTTCCCTTCGTCGTGTTGAATTCCTTTTGCTCTACTAATGCTCGTTTATGCCTTGTCTTATATATTTATATATTTATAATCTTGAAGCGTCGTGTTTTGTCCGTTCAAGGTTACATCAGAATACTTCTTTGCTGAGTTTCCATCTCTTCTGCGACAATATGTGGGAGATGTAGTTGTGGTTTTCGCTAGAGTTCCTGTTGTAAAGTTTACGTACGAGGGAACTGCAGTAGATGTTGTATTTGTCTCCGTGGCACTCTCAGCCCCACCCACAACCGAACAATTACTTAGCAACTCTTTTCTTCTTCAAGTTTCCCGTGAAACACGTCGCAGTGTGAATGGATTACGTACTGTTCTTGAAATAAGACGACATTTACCAGTGCCATATAATGTTTTTGCAACTACATTAAAGGCGGTTAAAATTTGGGCTATGAAACGTCAGGTTTACGGAAGTCATTATACATATCCAGGTGGAGTTGCTTTTGCTGTTATGGTAGCACGTGCATGTCAATTAATGCCTTCTTCTTATCCAAATGTAGTTTTACGTTTTTTTTTCGCTTTCTATACACAATGGTTGAGCCGTCATGATCGTATTCTTCCGGTATATATTACAGCTTCTCTGGAGAATCAGGGCCGTATTCAAGGTCTTCCTGAATCATGGGATCCACAACGTGAGTCTTGCCGTGAGGATTTATTTCCTGTGATAAATCCTGCTTATCCGTATGTTAACGATGCCCATAATATTGGACGTTGTGGATTAGAAGCATTTTATACTGAAATTACTAGAGCTCATCAAGTATTGTCAGATTCAGATTCACCTCTAGAGAAGATATGGGAACTATATCATATTACTGATTGGTACGACCAATATTTATTAGTTCAAGTTTGTTCTTGGGCTGATAATGAGGAAGATGCGAAACGTTTTCATACGGCGTGGAGTTCATATGTGGCTAGTAAACTACGTTTTTTTATTTATGACATGGAACAATTAGTGGATATCCGTCCATATCCACACAAGATAGATAATACTGCGATAAAGCAGACAGGGCAATACCGAGCCTTTGTTGGGGAATGTTTTTTTGTTTTAGCTGTTAAAGAAAGGAATAATGAGACCAAACTGGATTTATCTATGTTTTTTGAAGCATTTAAAAGGTTTAAGCATTTTATAGCAGATGGTTGTGTGAATACAGAGGATGGAGTGAGATTTGTATTCAATGGAGAAGCTATGCGAGGCCCTTACTTTAGGTTAGTTGATGCTGCACACTTGCCATTCGCTATGGAGAAGTAATACTTGCACAGCTGGATCTGTCTGCTTTCTCTGTTTTTTTCTCTTTCTTTTTTTCTTTTTCTCTTTCTTTCTGTTTTTATTATTCTTCTTGCCTCCAATTTCTTAGACGATCAAAGGTATTGTAAGGGATCATAGGTGGGGAAGAAAAGTATTTGAAAACTTGTGAAATGTTGGATAGAGGTGATTAAAAAAAAAAAAAAAAAAAAGAATTCCCTTGTTTCTCCCTTTTTTTTTTTTGCAGGGTCGTTGGCTCTTCAGTGAGAAGGTTCCAACTCCTTTTGTTTAAGGGACACAAATGAAGGATTAACAAATAGGTGCTTACTTGCAGGCTAATAACATAAAACAAGATATATATATATATATGTTCCCCCTCTTCTTTTTTTTTACTCTTTTTTTTTGTTTTTTATTAGATTCATTACTGGATGTTTGTTTATATATTTTTCTTATTTATTTGCTTTCTTTTTGGTTTATACATATTTCCATTGTGAATTCAAGAAAGAAAAAAATATTTTTTTTTTCTTTTCGTTTTTTTTTTTTTTTTGACTTTATTTGTTCATCCATAATAATAATAATAATAAGAAAAAAAAGGAAGGAAAGGATGTCAGACTTTGATGATAATCCACTGGCCACAGATGATGATGAAGGCACCACCACTCCGCTGGAGGTTACGAACAGGAAGAGAGAACGTGAAGAGGATGTTGCGATGGCTGCAGCACCCGAGCGGTCACCACCGCAAATGTCTGTTTCCACTCAACGAGCGACTTGTGCCTCTTCTTCTTCTGCTGTAATGGCTGATAGTCATGATAGTGGTGTTTTAACGGGAGAAGATTTTACTTTTGATGGTAATGAAAAGGCGACAAGTATAGATATTCCTACAACAGAGAGTTTATTGGCAGAATACGACGCGGGTCGAGAAGAGGATGAATTTAATGAATTAATTGTAAAAACCGCTGAGTTAGAGTCCAAGTTAAAGAAACAAAAGAATACATACAATGATGAGATAACTCGTGTTTCTAAAGAACATAAAGATCTTGAAGAATCTATGGAATCTTTAAAGAGTACAATTCTACGCATATGTGAAGAGATTAAATCTGTTCAAACCACCCGGGATGTAACAGATATAGAAGGTAATAATAGTAATAATAAAAGTAGTTATACTGAAGATGCTTTAGGGTTGATGGAGGTTATTCAACGAGAGAATAGTACTTTAAATAAAACTGTTAAAGAACTTACACAACACCTAAACGTGCAGGTAGGTAAAGATCGTATTATAAAAGAGCTTACAGAACATATTTACACCTGTATTACTGGTAATCAAGATGGACAGAGAGATATTCTTAGCATCTTTGATCCTCAGGTTGAACGACGTAATCTTGAATTATGTAAAACGGCAATTGCCAAACTTAGCACTAGTGGGGTAATAGATCAAACATCTTTACTTATACAAGCACTTATGGGAGTTATGAATCGTTTAGTTAATAATTTTGATGTGATCTATGCAAATGCGAAAACATTAAATGAACGAATGTCGTGTTTGTCATCATCCTTGCGTGAGTTAGCACGATATTCACTGGAATGGTACTGTCGTACTATTAATAAAGATATGTTAGGAAATGGAGATGTTAAGTTACCAATATTTACATCTAGAGAAGCCTATGAGGGTAGCGTAGGGAATCAACGATTAGAGACAACATTACATCGGATGGAATATACTGTAAATCAACTATTAACACTTTTACCTTCAAATCTTGGTACAACAACTCCACATCAAAATACACCTGCTATTGCAGCTGCAGCAGCTGCTCTCTTTAATGAAGATTTGGAATCTCACACAGAAGCTCTTGGTAAGGAAGTTCTTATGTTAAGAAAGTTGCTTACTGAGGATACAGCTACCCTGGTACCACAACTAAGTGAACTGCATAAAAAACAAGGAGAAAAAAAAGAAACAGATCTAAAAACATCTACAACTACTGAAATGACTACTTGGCTCATTAAAATAATGAAAACATTAATGGAACGTCTTAATACTGCAAATACTTTATTACATTCTTTAGGAACTTCTGAAAAGAGTAGAGATGCCCCAGCAATGGCACTTCAACTTGCTTTTTATGAGAAATATCTTGAAATGCAAAAAATGTTACTTCATGAATTACATACATGCAATACTGCCTTACAAGAAAGGGCCTACCTTGTAACTGTTATTCGTCAAATAGCTTTACATGATGGTGATAATGAAGCTGTTGCTATGGTAGCCCAAAAATTAGTTGAAAGTTTAGAAAATAATAATATTAATGATAATTATGAAGAACTAGAACAAAGGTTTATTGAAAAAATAAAGAAGTTTGCAGATGAAGCATCTGAAATGTTTAGAGATCACTCTGTTAGTGCGGTTCAGAGCGCACAAAAACTACAAGAAGTTCGAAGATTTTTTGCACAAACCGTAGAGGTTTCAGACAAACTTGTATATGGAGAATCATCTAGATCTATTCCTCATTCTATTGCAGAAATATCTTTAATAAATTCTTCAGATGTAGTGGATACTTCTCATGAAGGAAATCTTCTTCTTTGTAATAGTGATGAAGAGTTTTCCATTCTTCCAGTAACATCAAATGATGTTAGAAAAGAGCTTCAGGAAGAAATAAACACTGTAGAAAGAAGAAATAAAGAATTAATGAAATGCATGAAATGGTTTTCAACGCAGAAAACTCATAACGCTATTCCAAAACTTTGTGCAGCACGTAAAGAGGTTGAAGAGTTACGTCAGAAGTTAAAACAATCTGAAGAAGGAGAAGCGAAATGGAAGACGCTTAAAGGTGAAGTAGATGAGACTCGAAAGGCAGTTTCTGTGGCTGTGGCTGCTACTGCAGCAATGAGAGATCGGTTGAATGGTCTGCGTGAACGTTTACATACTGGAAAAGAAGGGCAATTGCAATAATTCTTGGTAATATGCAAGTTTTCTTTTTTATATTTTTCGTTCTATCAGTGACTATGTCTCTCTTTTTTTTTTTTTTCTGTTATTGTTGTTGTTGAGAGCTTACCATTGGAATGATCTGGCCTTGTTGTATGCGGGTTGGTAAATGGTATCATTAATTTCTCCCTTTTCTGTTTATGAAAAGACTTGTGTGTGTGTGTGTGTTTGCATGTTAACGTGTAAGTTTTGAAAGCCTAACCAAAGCAGATCCTTTCGTCTCGCGTGGGATGCGGGTTAAAAAGGCGTTTTCTACACCATTTTTTTTTTTTTTTATTTTGAAAGACTTATCACGGTGTATATTTGTCGTTATTCTCTCGATGTGTTAGTGGTAAAAAAAAAAGAAAAAAGGAACGCTATCCATGTTTATTTCTTTTTTTTTCTTCACGTTTCTCTTTTATAGAGAAAAAAAAAAAGAATATTTAGACTATTATTGTATTTTCTCCTGCACCTTTGCGGAGTTCTAACCTTTTTTTTTTTTTGTTTTTCTATGCTTCCTCATATCTATCTATCTATTTCTCTCTCTTAAAAGAGCAGTGACCCTGAGAGATGTTTTGTTCCTTCATCTTCTTCATATTTCTTCATTAAAGGACTTTATTAGTAGTTATGTGTCGTGCCGGACGCGCTGGATGGTTTTTCACTGACGCGGAGGGCTGTTTTATCGGACGGGATCTTCATTTACAGCAGTGTGTTTGTCCAATCGCAACTTGTGTTTCCACAGCGGGAGGACATGCCTGTCACTTTACTTCATCATTCTTGGTATTCTGTGGTTTTCTGCTTATTATTTGGCTTATTGCAGTTGGTGCCTATGCATATATGTCAGGCATCATTCGGGAACATAAAGCCTCCCTGAGGCCAGAGAAAAGCCATTCTATGAATGGTGGTTACTACTTTGAGAAATTATTTGGTAACGAAAAACCAGAAACAGCGACTTTGGTAGAAATGCACAAGTCGTAAAAGAAATATAAAAGGAAATGAACATTAAGGAAAGTGATAATACATGCATATAAATATATTTCTTTCTGTATGTGTGTGTGTGTGTGTGTGTGCATACATATTTGTTTGGTTGTTACTTGTTTCCTGTGTATATAAGTAGGTGTAGTCGATGGCTTGTTGTTATGTAGTGGTTCGGACGAAAAGTAGGGGAAAATTATTATTGTCTTGGGAGTGTGTACAAGTGTTTGAAAATACCTTTAATAATGTATATCTCTATTATTATTATTATTATTATTATTATTATTATTTATTTATTTTCTTTTGTCATTGTTTTGCGTTTGTAAATGTATATTTATCATCCTTTACCCCCTTTTTTTTTTTATTACCACCTTACAGTTAACATCTTTTCCCAGAAATTTCTGTTTCTCGTTTTCCTTTCCAAGCCAGAGTGGAATCCATTAAAAAAAAAAAAAGAATATTTTTTTTTCTTTCATAAAATTAGAAAAAAAAAAAAAGAAAAGAAAGGCTTAACCATAATGCCATTCTTCACTCCGCGAACAATTGCAGTGTCCTGTGCCGCGGCCGTTGCGGTTCCAACAACCATTTTTCTCGCTGCGCGTGCGGTGCGGCGCTCCCGCGAAGAGAACGGCCCTTCGTTCAGTACTCTGCCAACTCGTGAATGGACAACGCAGCAGGTGGCACAATGGCTGCGCTCACGCGGTGTCTCAAAGGCGGCGGTGACGTCATTTGTAAAGAATGATGTGGATGGTAAAGTACTTCTTCTCTTGGAGGAGTCACACCTCAAAACACTGGCGCCAAAACTACGAGATCATCTTCTTATTCGAGAAGGAATTGAACAATTGCGGGAACAGACATCGCAACCTGTACAAAGTGTACAGGCAACTCTCCCAACACCCCCACTCCCACAAGCGACTATGGGAGGGGAGGAGTTAATTAAGACATTTATCAATACTGCTAATGATATCTGTACTACTATTACTTCACCGGAGTTTGAACAGGCCACACCAGAGGAACGGGAAAGGGAAAGACGAATGTGTATGCATAAATTTCATGTTATGGTGGATGAGGTACAATCAGTTGACCCAGAAGTTATGACAAAACTATTACCCATCGCTCATAAAGTAGAGAGACTTATTGCAGAATCAGAGAGACGAGAAGTTGATGTTGTACCACCACAGGCACCTTCGGTTTTGGGTGAACAGTTGAAAACACTACACGATATGATTGACGGATTTCTACGTGTACTTAACTCTACTGGAATGGATGTATTAACAGATCCTCAAGTGATTTTACTTCGAGAGCGAATTGAATCTCAAATAAATCACGTTTTAGAGGTTGTCCAACGGCTTCCTCCTCAGTATGGGGAACCCCTTGTGATAAAATGTAATATGGTACTCCAAAAGATTCATCAAACACCAAGTGTAGAGTCATCTATGATTCCCCCTCAATCACAGCCACAGTCAAGTGCGTTATTATTGGCTCCTACAGTGAAACGACTTCGTGATATTTTTACCTTTCTCAGGTCATCGCAATTAATGGAAATGAATCCACCAGAGCGATTGTTATGTATTGAAGAAATGGTAAAAGAAGTGAAAGAGATTCAAAGATCTGCAAATTCTTGGAATGATACTCGTGCAGTTGAGGTTATTAATCAAGTATCAGGGAATGTTGTTGGAGTTTTGGAACAAATAAAGATTCTTACTCAAGAAGAAATAAATGAGTCTAATGGTGGCCGTTCTGAAGATGCTGAAGAATCACAGGAAGAAAATACCCAAATGGAATTACCACAGATTTTCGCTTCTTTACAAGCTGTTGTTCAAGTTTTACAATCGGAAGAATTTGCTCGTTCATCCCCTCCTGTACAAAGGCAAGTGGTTGAAGAGTTACAGATGAGTTTACACCGACTTCGAGTTCAAATTAACCGCCTTCCACTGAACCAAGCGACAGCAACTGTAACAGCGATGATTGAAAGAGCTCAAGAACTTCTTCAATCTCTTTCAAGTATGGGACCAAATACAAATGGAGAGGAAGAACAACAAGAAGGAGAAGAAGAAGAAGAACAAGAAGATAATAATGGTGATGGTGATGATGATGATGTACAACCTCGTGCCTCTTCAGGAAACCCATTGGAAGCGGAATGGCGGGAAAACATGCTGGATGAAGTAGTATCTGAGCTAGAGAAGATATTTGAATATGTAAATTCAGAGGCCTTTGAGATGCTGTCATCTGTTGAAAAGGCTAATATGGCTCAAAGAGAGCTTTCTCGCCTTCTTGCCATAGAGGAACGTTGTGCTCGCCTTGGTGGACTGGGACAACTACAAGATCTTGTAGATCCTTTAAAGCAAATATTACATCTGGAAATTGGTAATAAAGCAGAAGCTACAGCAGCAGCCCCTACACCACTTTTTCTCAGTATTTCATCTCATTTAAGAAGGATGAATGGACTTATGGAATCGGAAGGTTTTAAAAATGCTGATTTAGATAAGAAAAGAACGGCAGCTCAATCAATTATACCACAACTTCAAAAAATTACTGCAACCCTTTCAGAACTTCCACCACATGAAAGAGTCGCTATACAAAAACTCATTGAACCCATAAATGATAAGCTTCAGAAAATTGCCTTACCACGTGAAGAAAATTCAGGAGAATCTTCTCTTGATCCACAACATCTGGTAGCACAGGTGGAAAGGGTATTGGCAGTCGTACAATCACAAGAGTTTCGAGATGCCTCTTCTAAACAACGCCAACGTATTTCCAGCAGGCTTGTAAAAACACTGGATTATCTTGAGGAAGAATGCCAAAAAATGGGTGACGTGACACTTCCTCTTCTTCCTATTGTTCAACGTCTTCGGGGACAGATGGAGATGTTCGCCCAAGCTGTTGACGCTGCAGAAGAAGAGGAAGAAGAAGAAAATAATAATTCTAATAATAATAATATTGAGGAATCTGCTGAAGGAGAAGAAGAAGATAATGATGATGATGATGATGATGATGATGATGATGATGTGGAAGAGGAAAAAGGAGAAGGAAAAAAACGACAAGAAACTTCAGTTGATACTAAAGATAAAGAGACTTCGGAAGCTTTTTCAAATAATGAAAGCACACCTGCTGAAGAAACGGAACAACGCAGTAGTGTGGCATCTGAAAGACAGAAGCTTTTTTCTGCAGTTGCAGAGATTACAGCAGAGTTAGGTAGGAGCAATCAAAGTAATGTTCAACTCTCTGAAGAGGAATTACAACCTTTACTTGGTCTTTTGGAGATGGTAGACTCTGTAGGGGTTACCACTGCTATGGAGAAGGAACTGCGAGATGAATTTGAAGCACAAATAAAAGAAGCCGCAGGAGAAGTTAATGATACTTCTGAAGCTGAAGCGTCTAATGGGGAAGTGCAAAACCTTATGCAAGTATTTGAAGCACTAAGAGAGCGTCTATCATCACTTAATTTATCTTCTATTTCTGATTTATTACCTCTTATGAATATTGCTGAGCGTACACTTAGCAATGCTGATCAACATAATGTACCATGGCGCGATAGTCCTGTAGCGGTGGGTCTAATTGCAGAGGTATTGTCACGCATTCAGGCATTACAAGTTCAATTTACTGAAAATCAGCGACCTTCTGAACTGGAAAATATTCTTAATGAGGCAGCGAGAGAAGTTCGTGAGCATCCTCCACAGAATGAGGATCAACTTCAACCCTATTTACAGATGCTTTCAGGGGTTCAAAATAGAGTCAATTCTATGTCTGTTGGAGCTTTAGATGCATTTAAAAATCTTCAAGAGGCTATACTTGAGGTAACACGTGCACTACGTGATGATTCTCGGGGGTCCGCAACATTAATGGATGATAATGGTGATCCTGCTGCACTCTTGCTCTTGGAAATATCTAATCGATTACGAGAAGGACCATTTCCAGATGTGGTATTGGATCAATACTCCTTATTACTCGATAGAATAGAGTCTGCAGATACACGTGAATCGATACATGAGGCAGTTCAAGCTGTGCGGGAACAGTTACGTCTTCAACAGATTGGTAACCGTAACAATGCTGAAGACGAAGATGAAGATGATGAAGAGGATGATGAAGAGGAGGAAGAAGAAGAGTCTGACGAACAAAAACAAGAAGAAGACGAAAAGGAAGAACATGACGAACATGATACAAAAACAAATGTAAAAAAAGATTTACAGGGTTCTGATAAACAAGCAGAAGTCCCTTCTAATGATGATAATGATGATGATGAAGAAGAAGAAAAAAGGAGAGTGGAAAAAAATGTTACTAACTTTCTTTTCAAGAAGTTACCAACCAAATATGTCCCTGGAGGAGCTAAAAATGAACTCCTTCTTCTTCCACGTATTGAAAAGAAGATTTTTTCTGAGGAACAACATTTTGTTGAACATACAACTCTTTTTGATATTCAAAATATCAGTAAGGTGATTCTTCACTTGGAAATAAATGGGGAAGTCAAGTCTTTACCAAAATTAAATGATCGTGTTGTTCGTGTTAAAAAGGCTTTTGCCAAACAACTTGAAGCGTTTCAAGAAAGTGACCAGAAGTCTGCTGCCGTTCTCCCTAAACTTCGTCTTCGATGCAGAGATACGGTTATATCAGGTGAGTCTGTTCGTAAACTTGTGATATGTACAGATCCAGAGGCAGAATTAAGCGACGAAGACAACAATAATAACTCTCAAGATCTTTTAAAGATTTTAACAGAAGGGAAAGCAACAAAGACAACAGCTTCAGAAGAAGTCATGAAGGAATGGAAAGGACGAAGTGTAGCGGTACTTGTGTGTGAGTCAACAGAGGCAGAAGGGACGGCATTAAGTGAACTTGTCATGTTACATGAAGTCTTAACAAATCGTTATGGTTTTACTGTGGTTACAGTGGGAAGTACCGGTGCAACTGAGATTCGAAACTTATTAAAAGAAATTGCCTCATCAGGAGTAAAACGTCTCTTTTTGTACTATGCAATGAATAAATCTGCATCTTCTTCACCACATGCTGTTCTTTTCCGTGATGGATCCGGTTTAACTTATCGTGATGCCCTTCAACAAGTTGAATCTATTGATCGTGTTGTTCTGGCACACTGTCAACCACAAAAACTAACTATTGTACCTGCATTTGCTGGTTCCTGTGATTCCTTCTTCTCTGTGGAACTGACAGAATCAGCGAGGGATGAGTTACGACCAGTGCGTTGCTGGCTATATGATGGATTACTCACACCCGCCGTTACAGAACTGCTCTCCCTTGATGAATGGCGTATGTTGTGCCCAGAAGATCTTGCCACGTATGTTGTGACTGCCATGACTTCTCTCAGTGTTGATTTTGGTAGTTTTGCGGAAGGGTCAGCGTCAAGTATGGGCTTTTTTGTGCCATGTGATACTTCAAAATAGAGTTATGTGAAAAACAAAAACAAAAAAAAAAAAAAAAAAAACAGAAAAAAAAGCGCGTGAATCTTTTTTTTTCCCCTTTTTTTTGGTTGTGTTCCATTATTGTTTGTTTTTGTTTCTGTCTTTTTTTCCCCTTTATTTATTATCAACGGTACGTTAGGCAATGGATGCCGGGTCTGTCTTTTTTTTTTTTCTTACCTTTTTTTATGTAGCTGCTTCCCGGGAAGAACAACAACAACAACAAAATCAAAAAAAAAAAAAAAACGAACAGCATAAATGCTGGTATAATGCCGCCTTCCCTTTCGTAATTTGTACCTGTGTGCAACACTTGTATCTATCTACGTCTGACGACGGCACGTTGTTTTCAACCTGCAACCACTGATAGAATGAACTTTTCTGATGTTTCTTGTGGTTCTGTGCCTATGCAATGATTTTAATGATGGTGACTTTAATATCCATCTATCACTTTCTTTTCCCCCTCCCTTTCTCATTCCCTTTATATCACTTCCTCTACCACTATCACTATTAACATAATCAACTCTCATTCCCCACTTTTTTTTTTTTCTTTTCATTTTCTTTCCTATCCTCCATCTATAAATAGTTATATATATATATATATATATATATATAGAAAGAGAGAGATAAGATGACGGACGGAGTACGGCACTATGTGAGTGATTGTCTCCAACAGCGGCACCCGTACGATGCCCGCAGCGCCTTCGCCGGTCGTCCGCAGCGCGACGCTGGACTTGTTTTCTCCGGCCGGCCGCCAATTGCGATTGACGATTGGATCGCGGCTCTCAGCGACACCGTTGTGGGCGACGTGCAGCGTGGGAGGGCACTGCGGCTTCTCATTGCACACACCGCATCACAGGAGGAGAAGATAACACTACTGCGGAAAGATATTGTGACTAGACTCGTGGCATTACTGAATACGAAACCATCACCAGATGTGGAGTGTCAAACATTTGCGTTGATGCGCTCACTTTGTGTGATACCACAAGGATGTCAATGTGTTATGGATGCAGGCGGTCTGGAAGCTGCTATGCGATCTGCTCAAGATACTTCCATGGGAGAGGAACGCCTAGATGCTAGGGTAATGGCAGTAAGAGTAATATATCAAATTAGCTTTAATGCGGCAGGTGTACGTTGGTTACTTGGAGTAGAAGTGCCCCATGGATTTGAATTGTTAGATGCTGTTTCCACTACATCTTGTGTAGCACCAGTAACAAAAGAAGCCGTCATTGCTACCCTTGTATTTATCCTTCAACATGATGCAAAGTTTGATGGAAGTGGTATGAATAGTAGTACTACTACTATTGGTAGTAATAGTGATGTTAGTAATAAGACTAGTGGTGGTTCTCCTGTTTTGCAGATGATATTATATGCTGTTACTGCCTTAGCACAGTTAACAGCCGTAACAGAAGGTATCTTTGCTGCAATGAATGGAAATGCTGTGACTGAAGTGGCTGCTCTCATACATAAGTATGCTTCTAACACTATTTGGTTAATAGATCGAGAAATTGTGGGAATTGTGACACAACTTATTATTATTATATGGAATGTTTCACTTGAACAAAGTGGAGCAGAACTTGTTGGAGAACTTGGTGTTCCAGATGATCTTTTTTCACTTATTGCCATTCTTTACAGACAAAGTATCTCATCTAATGGTCCTTTACTTCGTGCATTAACTGGAGCATTATCTGCGGTTTACAAATTACTTTCTGTAAAACAAAAAAGCTTAGATCCTTTGGTCGGTGAACTTTCTCGTATTCAAGTTTTGTACGAATTCCTTCGTAGTATTAATGATGTGGTTAGTACCGCTAAAGTTAGTCAGAATGAACCACATCCAGATGTTGTAGCAATATCAAAGAATGTTGTCCTATGTACTCGATTCGCTATGGAACTGAAGTCTGTACGTGACTTTACACGTAAATTTCTTGAAGAAATGGGTAAAAATGGCACTAATGAAGCATTCTATTTTAGAAGACAACTTTTCTATTCTACAAAGTGGGAAAAAGAATTTGATGCCTCCGTATAGGCTTGATAGCTTGAATTCGTCCTTTTTTTTGTTTCCCATTTTTTTCTTTTTTTATTTATTTACATGTATTGTAGGCTTCTACCGTGCTGCACAAAAAGAGGTTCCGTGCGTTTTTTTGTTTTGGATGATGATGATTATTATTATTCTTCGCTGTGGATATGTATTTATATATGGTCTTTTGCAACATGTACCCCTTTGTTCCCATATATATATATATATATATATATATATATATACTGTACACGATAGATTGCGTAACTTAAATTTTTGAAGACACATATGTTTTAAAGCTCTTTTAAATATATATGTTTTTTTTTTTCTTTATTCTTGTTACCTTTTTTTCCCCTTAAACAACCACAACAACAAAAAAAGAGTGGAGTTTCACAGTAAGCTTTTATTTGCTTTCTGTGAAGATGCCAGCAAAGAAGAAAGCAGTCGTCGGTCAGTTCATTTTGGAGGAGGTTGGCCGACGATTCCAACAGATTCACAAAAGTGCTGCACATATCCATAAGTGTAAGACAGAGTTACTTTCATTTGCGAATGATAATAGATCAGATGTGGTGGATGCCGTTTGCCGTGTGGTATTATTGGTATTAAAAGAATCCCCACGTCTCGCACCAGATTCATTAAAGCGTCATTACTCATTTTTATCAGAAGTTTCTAAAGGATTTCGAGAACGTTACGAATCCGATGAAATTGCTATTGCGATGCTAAAAACAGTGGAACCGTTTCATAATGCAAATGATAAAACTGTACGTCTCGGTGTTGTCTCCGTCTTTGATGCATTACTAAAGACGGTGGATCAAACCAATACATCAGAAGAACGACAAAATTTTTATCAAAATGTTGCTGAAATGTTAAAATTACGTATACATGATAAACATCCAGCTGTACGAGAGAAAGCTACATCTGCTGTTTCTTGCTTTCAATCAGGAAAGAAAGATTGTGATGTAACCCAACAACTCATAGCACTTCTTTGCACAGATAACTCCGCTGATGTTCGTCGTCAAGTGTTACGATGCATCTGCGCACGGAAAGAATTTCTTGAAGGGTATTTTCACGGTATGATTCGAAGTGTTCGGGATGTTGTTTCACGTGTGCGAGCAGAGGCGTGGGATGCACTAAGCCGTTTTCATTGGAAATATATTGCTGCCTACGCTATGGCGAAAAATATTGCCTTACCAGAGTTAATTCATCAAGGTTTAATAGATAGTAGTAGTAGTGTTAGTATTGCATGTAGGGCAGCACTGACCAATTGTTGGCTACATCGTGACTATAAAGATGATTGTGAAAGTATGTTTGAGTTGGTACTTGGTAATGGAAATGGAAATCTTGACTCTTATGAAGTGGTGTGTACAGAGATGTTACAATATTCTAGAAAACATAAAAATACAAAGAATTATGTGGTAAATTTTGAACTTGTTAGTGCTACATCTCTTTTATTATGGAAGGCTAATGCTAAATTATCTGCAGATACAGAAGGAGAAGATGAAACCGCTATTTTACTTCCATTACCAGAATTTAGTCAACTCTTACAAGATACTGTATATGCATACGCTCGTCCAGATGTGGAATCCAAAACTGTAAAGTTTAAGAATATTGATGAAGCAGATGTTATGCTTCGAATTCTTTTATCAACATTTGATATTTATGAAGAAAATGGATATTTAACGCATGCTGATAATACAACTCGTAGTAGTCTTTTACGTATTATTGGTTTTCTTCTTAAAGTGGTTCCAGATGATGATCCGGCATTATTTGTAGATGTGGCTGTTCGTACACTAAAGTCTCTTACAGAGCGAACTCCAGAAGAGGCCACTAAAACCATCACATCTTCTTTGGATTCCCTCTTTCGTAGTTTGAAATTACCTCAGATGTATGCACTTGGATATGATGATGTGGAGGCATTTGGACGAAAGAGTCGAGAACGACAACGAGAATTAATTCGAAGACGTATGAAACTTCGTGGTGGAGAGGCAACTCAAGAGGAATATGATCAATTAAAGGAAGAAATGGATAGAGATGAAAAATTTCTCTTACGTATGCAGTTTATTGTATTTGCATTTCTTTCTCATTCCCAGCGAGGAGATACAATTCCTACTTTCTGTTCTCATGTTATACAATTGGGAAGACAGCAAGATAATGAGGCTGTTAAAGTTGCATCTACTACCTCTTTGGGATTACAGTGTTTAGTTAATCCAGATACCGTACATACATTTATGCCACTTATTCTCAGTGATGCAAAAGATATTGTACCGAATGCAGAAGGTTGTGTTTCCCTTACTGCATTAGGGATTGCCTTTGATCTTGTAATGGAGTATGGTTTGCGTTTCTTTGACTGTCCAACACATACTACTGGAAACAGTAAAATGAATCATAACAGTAACCTTGACAATATCAGCAACAACCATAGTAATGATAATAATAATAATAATAATAATAATAATAATAATAATAATAATAATAATCATAATAATAGTAATAATAATATTCCTTCTGTTATGGGAACCATTACTACTACTACTACTACTACTACTACTGAAGGGAATTTAGAAGCACGTCTTCAACATGAACGTGCTTTGGCTCAAGAGGATGAACATCGAGTGGGAGGCAATAATTTGTTAAATACATTACGTTCATTTTTACGTACTCCTTGCTCAGGGAAAAATCCAATTGTAGTTGTTGGATTTTGTAAACTACTTAGTTGCAACCGTGTTCCTCATTCTCAAGTTGCTGAAGTAATAGCTGATATTTTAATTCATTACATGGCCTACCGTCAGGAAGAGAAGATAAATGTCCGCGCAGCCTATATGGTGGATTATTTAAACAAATTTTTATACAGCTTTGCATCCAGTCATCCAAATCGTCAATCACTTTTTGTTCAAGGAGGATTACTTGCCTTTACTCAGATTCTGCGATATAATTCTAATTGTGCTATGCGCTTAATGGAACTGATCACGAGACTTGGTGATGCTTTTATTCTTGTACAAGTACGTGAAATAGATCCAGAAACGGCTAGACAATTTGCACGACTTGCAGAAAATGGAAATCTAACAACAGAAGACTCTACATTGGCAAAGAACTCTTCTATACGTACAGCGGCAACTCGTTCATCCACTCAAAGTGGTCGTCTCGCAAGGGAATTAAGTCGTTTTTCACTTCATGAACATATTGCCAGTGAACTGCTTATTGAAATTTCACAGTCTGATTCTGAAGAAGCACAGGAAGTATGTATTAATATATTAGAGAAACGTATGTACTTTTACGCGAAGGAACTTCCCTCATGGCTCTTATTTTGTGCTTCTCGTGCTTTGGAGAGAGTGAGTGCAAGTTTACAGAGACGACTAGAGGCCTGGAGAGATGAGGCACGTGTACGTTTTTCAACCCAATTAACAGATGATGAAATTGCAGATGATGCCAACAAAACAAAGTGGACAGAGGCTCTAACCGCACGAGAAGGTGTTCTGGAGAAATTACTGGATAATGGTGTGTTAACAGCCTTATCTCATACCTTAGAAGAGGGCTCTGCTGGTGATGGGGATGGGGCTGCTGAAAATAATAATAATAATAACAACAACAACATCGGTAGTGGACTAGTTTCAGTTATGAAGATTGAACGAAAACGTACACGGGATGAGAATACAGTTTTTGATGTTGACTCCATTGCAAGTCGCCAGAGGAGGTCACGTCGTTAGAGAATAAACAACTAGATTTTTTTTTTTTTTTTTTTTGCATAGAATAGAAAGGAAGAAAAAGAAAAAAAAGAAAAGAGAAGAAGAAAGCATAACACTTCTCTATGTGTTTATTTGTGTTACGGGATTGAGAAAAAAAAAAATAAACAAGATAAAATTGAATACAATAACCAGAAAAAAACAAGAAAAAGAATGAAAGAAAAAAAGGAATAATGTTGATCTAGTATATATATTTATTTTTATTAGTATCATCAGATAAATCGTACCTCCCTCTTTTTTTTTTTTTTTCTTTCTTTTCATTCTCTCATTGCTGTTTCTCCTTTCCCCATTAAAAAAAAGAAAATGGGAAAAGATAAAGCCAAGGCCCCCAAAAAGGGTGATGCTGGTGGTAGTAGCGGCAACAGTGGAAAAAAAACAAAAGACACATCTGGTGGCTCTGGCTACACGAAAGTAAAAGTACGCCATATTCTCTGTGAAAAACACGGCCGCGCGATGGAGGCATTAACAAAAATCAACGAAGGGGCGAATTTCGCCGATGTGGCGCGGGAGTACAGTGAAGATAAGGCCCGCAGCGGTGGAGATCTCGGCTGGAAAATGCGGGGAGAAATGGTGGGGCCCTTTCAGGAGGCCGCGTTTGCATTGCCAAAGGGTGGAATGACACCGGAGCCGGTGAAAACGCAGTTTGGATATCACATTATTCTCGTTGAGGATAAACAGTGATCCTCTCAAGTCCATTATAGCGTTCATGATTAAAAAAAAAAAAAACGGTTACTTGCCTTTTTTTTTCTTTTTTTAAAAGAAAAGAATGGGAAAACAAAAAGAAAAAGTTGGAATCTCATGATCACCTTCTCTATTGGTATATATATCTATATTGCCTGCATATTAAAGCCTAAAAATCGAAGAAACATAATCTTTTTTTTTATCTTTTCATTCTCTCCTGTTTTTTTTTTTTTTTATATATATTTATTTGTTTTTGTTTCTAAGGATAAAAAAAGCACTATACAAAACAGTCAAGAGTATTTTGTTCTCTTTCAAATGTGTTAGCTGCTTGAGAAGTCTCCGTCATAAGTGTCTGTTCTTGTGACTCTTCTCGTTCTATTAGTTATGCCATTTAAATATATATATAAATATATATGTTTCTACGCATCCCTACGTATGTGTACGGATTGAATCTTGGGTGGTTTTGAATTGCTCCTAAACTATCTTTCTCGGATGGGTGAAAATCAGATATTTTGGATGTAAAATATTCAATTTTTTTTGATTGATATTGGCGTCTTTTTTTTTTTGGATTATCTCGCTTGATGGCTAGACTACTTCTGTACGAATTCCAACTTGTACAATAAGTTGACTTTATTTTTGGGGGGGTTTTTATCATTTCCTCTTGTTTATTATCATTTGCTATTATTTGGTTGGATTCGTGTGGGGGCTGTTTAAATGGTTTTGTGGTGAGTTTGAGCTAAATGGAGAAATTCCGTTGAGCGGATTATTTTTATTGTTAAAAGGGTCTCTGGTTTATGGCATTTTACGGTCTCTTTTGTTTGTTTATTTCTTTGTTCGGATTTCAGGACTCTTTCAATTAACGCGCAGTGACAACATTACTTGTACGGTAATACAATGATAGTGATAATGAGATCAAAGTGGAGCAGTTATTGTACCGTAATGTTTGTTTTATTTTTGTTTTTCCGTGTTAGTTGTTTGGTGTTTTTTTTTTTTTTTTTTTTTTTACTCTTGTTTTCTTTTTTTTTTTTTCTATTTTTTTTGGACACACCACTGATAACAACAACAACACGTATATTCTCTTTTTGTTTTCTCATTGTAAGAGTGTCAGTGACTGCAGGGGAATATATACATTGAGCGGAATTAAAAGACATTTATAAATAAAAGGAAGGAAGGAAGGAAGGAAAAGATAGGGGAAGAATTGTTTCATTACCGCATGGTTTTTGGGAAGTGAGGGTTTATATGCTTATCAGAAGTTAAATTCATTCATTCAGAAGAAAAAAAATAATATAAAACAAGAACCGAATAAAGTATAGAAACCCCAAAGTATACATAATAAATAAATATATTTATACTAACAATGTGTTCCGTTCCTATTGGTGATATTGAAGTGTCATTTCCTTTTAACCCATATCCGGCACAGGTGGAGTATATGCAAGCTGTCATTAATGCTCTTAATAATGGTACCAATGCTTTGCTAGAATCTCCAACAGGAACTGGCAAGACACTATGTCTTCTTTGTGCTACTCTTGCTTGGTTAGAGGAAAGACGTAAAAATGAACGAATAAAGTGTTTGAATGAACAGGCAGGAATGACAAGAGTAATGTACTGTAGTCGTACTCATGCACAATTAAGTCAAGTTATTCGTGAATTAAAGCGAACACGTTATGGAAGTGTTTTTTCAATGTCTATATTAGGTTCAAGAGAACATATGTGTGTTCATCCACAGGTATTAAATCTTCGTACTGCACATGCCCAACAAAGTATGTGTAATACACTTAGAGAAGAAAAAAATTGTCGATATTACAGAGGGTTTCAATCTCGTAGTTCTCAAAATGCGATAGAAATAAATGATTCAGAAGTACATGATATGGAAGATTTGGTATCTAAAGGTCGTAGTTGTGGATTTTGTCCTTACTATATGGAAAGAGAACAAGCAAAGGAAGCTGATATTGTATTTCTTCCTTATAACTATATGTTTGATTTATCTTTACGTAAACAACTTCCATTTGAAGTAAAAAAATCTATATTAATTGTTGATGAGGCTCATAATTTGCCTTCAATTTTAGGTTCATCATCTTGTATGAATCTTTTACCTTTAGATTTAACAAATGCTATTCATGACTGTTCTAGAGCTCTTGCTATGCAAAGACTTATGATGGAATCCGCTTCTGATGATGACCCTCAGGAAAGTTTGATGGATGAACAAGAAATCTCTTCATTAAAAATTATTCTTTGTGGATTAGAAACTCGTATTAATGAAGAAAAAAATGAGCAAAATGAAAAATCTACAAAGACTTCTAACAAAATTGTGGTTACATCTAGTGAAGAAATTGTACGAGAGGGATCCTATATGATTCCTTTTTTAGCTAAAGCACTTATTACGAAGAAATTATTTACTGGAGGTAATCAACAAGGAGGTGGAATTAACGATGTTATGACTAAAGCCATTACTATTTTAGCCCAAAGTGAAGGAGCAGCAACAGGTCTTGCAAAAGTACAACAATTTTTAAATTTTGTTTTTGAACACAATGATGAGGGTGATGAAGATGCTTGTCGTTTTGTTATACAGAGTGTTAAAGGTATGGATGGAAGACAAATGCAACGATCTCTTGGTTACTGGTGTCTTGACACCTCACGTACTGTACAGAGGCTAGTCTCTGGTCTTCGTTCTCTTCTTTTAACGAGTGGCACACTTTCTCCTCTTGATCACTTTGCTGCAGAATTGGGTTTATGCTTTGATGTCTCTCTAAAGGGCAGTCATGTGATTCAGCCCCACCAGGTGGTGGGCTCTGTGCTTTGCAAAGGTCCTGGTGGGGAAAGACTCAATGGGAGTTACGTATTCCGTGGGCGGACGGACTACCAAGTGGGGCTTGGCATGTGTCTGGTGAATCTCGCGCGCCACACACCCGGCGGGGTTTTGGTTTTCTTCCCAAGTTACGCGGCGCTGGGGACGGCGGTGGCGGTTTGGCGGGCCGGCGGCGAAGAAAAGGAAAAGAAAGAAAAGGAGGGGGAGGAGGGGGCGGGGGAGTTGACGGTGTGGGGGCGGCTGGCGGCCCTTAAGCCCGTCTTTGTGGAGCCGGCGTCCGCCGCGGACCTCCCCGCCATCGTGGCGGCCTTCCAGCGGGCCGTCGACGCCGCACCCGCACGTGGGGCCATTCTCCTCGCCGTGTGCCGCGGGAAGATCAGCGAGGGTGTGGACTTCGCCGATCATCACGGTAGATGCGTGGTCGTTGCCGGTATCCCATTCGCCAACCACACCGATCTCTTCGTACGGCTAAAACGGGACTACATCACAAGTGTCGCACCACAACGACCAAAGGTGCAGGGGAAATTATTTACAGGGGATGATTGGTATATTAATGAGTCTATGCGAGCAGTGAATCAGTGCGTTGGACGTGTTATACGGCATAAGGATGATTACGGAGCCGTTTTGTTGGCGGATGAACGATATGCTAATCAATTAGGCGGACTGTCAAAATGGGTGGGAGAAAGATGCTCTGTTCATCGTGAATTTCGTGAAACATACGCATGTATAGCGAAATTTTTTGCTTCTTTTAGGCGTCGTATGTGTGATGGATTACTTCGATCATCTAATTGTACGGATTCATCTTCTTCTTTTTATAATACTACTATTTCGGGTTCCGTAACACTTGGAAGTATTTCTATGGTACCAAAAGCAGAAGAAATTCCAGATTCTGCAGAGAAGGCAAAACGTTTCGCAGCTGAACAAATGAATAAAGTAACTGCTGAAAAGGTTGGACAGATCCAAAAATGTCTTGCCGAAGCAGAAGAGGTACCTTCTCTTGCCCTTCATGATTCTTTTCCTACTAGTAAAGAGACACCAGTATCTGCATTATCACCATTACCATTACCATCAACAATAACAAGATCAGAAACCGTATCGCAACCACCCTTATTTAAGAAACAGGTACTACCTGTACTTCCTGCGTTACCAGAATCTAAAGAAAAAACTGAAGTTAAAACTTTAGTTGGATCAACTTCAAAGGAGTTCTGTCTATTTATGAAGAAAAAGCTTCAACCTGCGAGCTACGATAAGTTTCGTGATAAATTAAAACAAATTGCCTCTATACGTGATACCCCTAATTTATCTGTTGATGCTAAAAAAAGAGGTCTGGACGCTGCTGTAGATGATCTTGCAGTGTTATTTAGAGAAGCAGCTGCTGAACACGAGAAGGATTTATTATTAGCATTTGCTCAACATATTCCGGCGGAATTTCGGCCGTATTTTACTCATCTACTACAAAAACGACGCAGAGCATCATGACTTTTATATATACTGATTAAAAGAATTAATCTTTTAATACCACTATATTATTATTATTTATTATTATTATTATTATTTTAACTTTGAGGTCTTTATATATCGTAGACAGTGGAAAAAGAAAATAAAAATAAATGAATGAAATATATTGCTCTTTTCTCTTTTTATTTATTTATTTATTTCTCCTCTTTCTGTTTATTTATTTATTTTTTTTATTCTCTTTTTGTTTTATTCCAGTATAGGGTATTCATAAAATGGAGCTTCGCGACAAGACTGCTTCTGGACTTGAGCGCTATATTATAGGTGAATACTTGGGTCAAGGCACTACTAGTGATGTGTTTAAGGTCGCTGATTCACTTACAAAAAAAGAGTATGTACTGAAACAAATGTTTCTTGATTCCATGAGTCTCGAAGAACAACTACGAGTAAAAAAAGAGATACTCGTTATGAATGATGTTGATCATCCAAATATTGTTAAATTTCGTGAAAGTTTTAGTGGTGAAAACTCTGTAAACATCATTATGGAGAGCTGTGAATGTACACTTGAAGAACTTATAGAACGTCAACAGGAAGAAGGAGGAGGTTTGCCGTTTCCAGAGGATGCCATTATTGAATGGATGGCAGAACTTCTTTGTGGTCTTGCCTATCTACACTCAAGACGTATAGTGCACCGCGATATAAAAACGAGTAATATATTTGTTACTGAAAAGAATCATGTAAAATTGGGAGATTTTGGTGTTTGTACGGTCCTCACAAGTGCTACAGTATCAGCTGAAAGTATGATTGGTACACCTCTCTACTTTTCTCCAGAAGTGTGCGAGTCGGAAGCATATGATGAACGTAGTGATGTTTGGAGTCTTGGTGTGGTCTTTTACGAAATGTGTACATTGCGTCGTCCTTTTGATGCGGAACATTTGCCTGGTCTCATCCGGCAAATTCTCACAAAAGATGTGGCACCATTTAATACTGGTCTTGATTCTCGTTTTGAAGAAATTGTGCGTAAGATGCTCAGTAAAGATCCTGGTGACCGCCCTACGGCGCAAGATTTAATTGACTATCATCTTGTAGTACCACCAAGTCACCCATCACATCCAAGTCAAAAACCATCTAGAGGAAGACATATTCAGCAATATTATGGTCCAGAACTTGTTTTCTCAGGAGATCCCTCAAATGTTGAACCTTCTCCTACACAATTAGGAAATGGACGAGAACAAAAACCCCGACCGAAAGGAAATGTATCACGTGAAACAAAATCTGTACCCAGTAAGGTTAAGGAGAGAAAAAAAGTTGTTACTGAGAAAAAAACTTCCAACAAAGGTACTCCAAAGGTACTGGATGTGGAGGAACGAGCTGAAATGATGAATCGTATTAAAAATGCAAAAAGCAAAATAAATATGTCAGAATTACGTGAAAATATGCTTCAAAAACGTCTTCAACTCTTTGGTGACGTATATCCATTCCCAAGTGGTGATGTTCCTATAATAATAGAGTTACAGCGGGGATTATTTAATTCCAATACAAGTGATTCTATTCATGAGCCCTCAACAAGTTTATCTTCTACACTGAATTCAACACCAAGTTTTGTTGATGATATTGCGGCGGTTATCCAAAAACACTCAAGTGGTGGTTCTAAGATAGATCTTGAGCAGCTTGATGACGCTGCCTCACTGCTATGCCAATATAAGCTGACCAACCATGGTCTCTGCTGAAAGTTTATTATATTCGGTCTTTTCTTCTTTTTTTTTTTTTTCTTTTTTTTTTTTTGCGTTACTAGTCGTTTCTTTTGTTTTGTTTTTTTATTTTTATTTATTAATTTTAGGAGTACATAAAACCGTTCTATTCCTTCATTGGTATGTCTTTTTCTTGTCCATTGTCTTTTAAATTATTTTCTGTATTCCACAAGGCGCGACCTCTTTTCAAAGAAGTTATTCTTGTTTTCTTTACGTTGTTGTTATTTTTTTTTTTTTTTTTTTTTNCGTTGTTGTTATTTTTTTTTTTTTTTTTTTTTTTTTTTAAAAAAAAAAAAAAAAAAAACAGAAGCAAAAGGCTCTAAAACATTGAGCACTTGTCGCTTTCGTGTCATGCCAGAGATCCCAGGTTTTCCCCTTTCAATCAGTAGGTGGACTGAAAGAGGTGAGAATTGTGCCACTTGCGGAAAAAAGTTTTCTTTTTTCACTTCAAAATCTAACTGCGCATGTTGTGGAAAACTTTGTTGTTCTGATTGTGTACAGGCAGAATGTACCATCGCGTCCAATAATACGCCTTCAAAGGTATGTGTTGATTGTTTTTCTATGCTTCAGAGTCACCGAAGCTCGGTTGGACCGGAACCAGATTTATTATCAGGGGAATACGGTGAAAAAGCTATATCGCTTTCTTTACCGAAGAAATCCCAGGAGCACAGTAGGGAAGATATACCCGTTCAAACACCTTCCATAAATAATTACATGCGAGAGAAGAATGTAACCAATAACGAATATACTACTATAACCCCAAAGCTACTTGATCAAATGAATGCACTAATGAAAAATTCAGAAGTTCTACGAGAGGAGAACCAAGAGTGGATAAAACAAGCTAGCGATCTCCAAATGCAAGTTAAGAACTTACAAAAGGAATTAGATCGTGCTCATGCTCAAATTGTCGTCAAGGATAAGCAATTATATGATGTAAATTATCAACAGAAGGAAACAGAAAAAAAGACTGCTGAATTACGTGAAGAACTAAAAAAATATGATATACGTTTCAAAGAAATTAAACAGGAATTACAAGAATCCATTGCACGTGCAACCTCTAGTGAAGCAATTGTTAAAAAATTACAAGAACAGGTAAAACCATATGAATCTGAAATGGATCGGGTTAATAAAGAATCAAAAGGTAATGGGGCAGTTCAGAATGCCTTAAAATACGTGCCTCCTGCACGATATCCAAACAAATCTATTGTACGAGAAACTGTGTTGTCTGTTGTTCCTCCTAAACCACGCGGCGCACTGGGTCCATCTGTGAGTTTGTCTGATTGGGATTTTGACACGTTAAAGGTGGCTGCACGAGTTCCCTCTGTATTGCAAACAGTTGCTTCAGCGGTTGCTATGCATTGGAGTCTGTTTTCTACTGATGATGAGATGCAAAAATGGGCGCAACTGACAGCGGTGGTGGAGAATAACTACAGGCCGAATCCTTACCATAATGCGGCGCATGCGGCAGATGTTTTGCAGGGTGTGTTTGCTCTCGTAACGGCTGCTCAGCCGTTAATGGAGAAGATGACACTGTTGGAACGAAAAGCCACTGCGTTTGCTGCCATGACACATGATGTTCGCCACCCAGGCCGAACGAATGCGTTTCTGGCCGCTGTGCACGATCCTGTAAGTTTTCGCTACTGTGGACGAGGTACGTTGGAGCAACTACACACTGCAACGGCGTTTGAATTGCTGACAGTACCTGAGCTTGATATTACCAGTACGATGGACGATACCTCATTTCTGGAGTTTAAAAACATTGTAACGCGACTCATCGCGCACACAGATATGAGTGTACATCGTGAGAGCATGCTACGATGGGGAGCTAAGGTTGGCAGTGGTGGTTTTGACTGCACCTCGTCGGAAGATCGAATTGAGGCGCTCTCCCTCATTCTCCACGCAGCTGACATTGGTGCCAGTTCACGTGGTTTGACCATAGCAAAGAAGTGGCTAGTAGTACTAGATGAGTTTGCGGAGCAGGCGGAGGATGAGCGGCGACGTGGGTTGCCGGTGACACCTGGCTTTGACCGTCCATCGTCGGTGGAACGATCACAAATTCCTTTTCTGGATTACTTTGTCATTCCCACGTTTGATCTTCTTCATCAGTTATTTCCCACCATTGAGGAGCCTCTGCGACACCTACGTGCGTTGCGAGAGTCCTATGCTGCTACTGCTGGTGTTACCACTCCATTTCCAGCCCCAGTGGACTACACAAACCGTAGTGCGAAGGTAAAGGAACTGGAGTCCTGCATTGCAGAGTTTCGTAAGCGTGAAGAAGAGCTCTGGCGCGGTACTGAGGCTGTAGAACATTCAGCCGCAAAAAATCTTTTGGCTGCTAACGAAGAAGTTTCACGTCTTCGACGTGAAATTGCCGCACGCGATAAAGATATCTTTGCTCTGAAAGAACGGTTACATGTTCCAACTGAGTTGCGACGTCTACCCAAATCCATTGTACGAGAAACTGTGTTGTCTGTTGTTCCTCCTAAACCACGCGGCGCACTGGGTCCATCTGTGAGTTTGTCTGATTGGGATTTTGACACGTTAAAGGTGGCTGCACGAGTTCCCTCTGTATTGCAAACAGTTGCTTCAGCGGTTGCTATGCATTGGAGTCTGTTTTCTACTGATGATGAGATGCAAAAATGGGCGCAACTGACAGCGGTGGTGGAGAATAACTACAGGCCGAATCCTTACCATAATGCGGCGCATGCGGCAGATGTTTTGCAGGGTGTGTTTGCTCTCGTAACGGCTGCTCAGCCGTTAATGGAGAAGATGACACTGTTGGAACGAAAAGCCACTGCGTTTGCTGCCATGACACATGATGTTCGCCACCCAGGCCGAACGAATGCGTTTCTGGCCGCTGTGCACGATCCTGTAAGTTTTCGCTACTGTGGACGAGGTACGTTGGAGCAACTACACACTGCAACGGCGTTTGAATTGCTGACAGTACCTGAGCTTGATATTACCAGTACGATGGACGATACCTCATTTCTGGAGTTTAAAAACATTGTAACGCGACTCATCGCGCACACAGATATGAGTGTACATCGTGAGAGCATGCTACGATGGGGAGCTAAGGTTGGCAGTGGTGGTTTTGACTGCACCTCGTCGGAAGATCGAATTGAGGCGCTCTCCCTCATTCTCCACGCAGCTGACATTGGTGCCAGTTCACGTGGTTTGACCATAGCAAAGAAGTGGCTAGTAGTACTAGATGAGTTTGCGGAGCAGGCGGAGGATGAGCGGCGACGTGGGTTGCCGGTGACACCTGGCTTTGACCGTCCATCGTCGGTGGAACGATCACAAATTCCTTTTCTGGATTACTTTGTCATTCCCACGTTTGATCTTCTTCATCAGTTATTTCCCACCATTGAGGAGCCTCTGCGACACCTACGTGCGTTGCGAGAGTCCTATGCTGCTACTGCTGGTGTTACCACTCCATTTCCAGCCCCAGTGGACTACACAAACCGTAGTGCGAAGGTAAAGGAACTGGAGTCCTGCATTGCAGAGTTTCGTAAGCGTGAAGAAGATGTGTATCACTACCTGGAGGACATGAAAGCAGCTGGTATGAGGCTGAAGAAGAAGTCAGTTGCACTGAAGTTAAAGGAAACTGAGTTGAATGAACGATTAGAAGCGATGATACAACTTGAGGGACGATTGAAGGCTGAGTTGGCGGGATCAAAAAATGGGCTTCAAGGCAAAAACACGTCTGATGCTTTGGTGGATTCTGACTTTGAAGGAATAGAAAAGGAACTTGCTTGCCTAGCTTCAGAAGCTGTGCTACAGGGTGGGAAGGAGGTTAATAAAAGTAAATTGCTTGTAGCACATGAACGAACTGTAAGTGAAGGTGAAGGTATTTTAGGTATAAATGCACGTTCGCTTGAGTGGCGTGAGAAAAAATTGGCTGCCATTACGGAGCGGCTTGCAGAGATAGCAGAGAGTATGCATGGAGAACGGAAGTTGCAACTAGAAGGTCAGTTGCATAAGGGAAAATTAGTGCCAAGTGAGTCTACGGCAAATACGAAGGACAATTTATTACTACAGCGCCAGCAAGATTTAACACAACGTGAGGCGGAGGAGCGATTGGCGCACAAATACAGTGAAGTGGATAAGCTTCTCTTGATTGTACGTTCAATGCGTGTGGATTGTTCCTCACGGTTGGACAGCGAAATGCGGCGACAACAATTGTGCAAAATACTTGAGGATCGGGAGTTGGCTATTGAAGAAGCGGTGAATCTATCGCGGCAATGGCGCAAGGATTTGGCGCAGTACCGAAGTACAAGGATGGCGACAAATCAACTGGATCGACTGGAGTGTGCTATCAAACAATTAACATCAGTTGTTTCTCAACTTTGTGATTAGGGGATATGTGTTTATATCACACCCATTTACTGCTTTTTTTTTTTTGCTTTTCTTTTGACTTGTTGCCTTCTTTTTTTTTTTTTTTTTAGTTTGGACAATCTTATATGTTTACAGTGCTTGTGCTTTTTTTTTTTTTGTTTTGTTGTTGACACTATCTAAGATTCACCGAACTGGTAATACCATGATCTCTTCTTGGATTCTTCATCTACAGCAATTCTTCTATGGTGTTAAAAAGGTGCTCTTTTTTTTTTTTTTTTTACTTTTCTTTCCTTTTTTTTTCATGAGTATTGTTTTGGCTGCAGTGTAAACCGTAGCGAAGAATGGAGACAGAGCTTGCTCGTATGCTGCAAGATATTAACTGGGAGGGATTCCAGCAGAATGGTGAGTCCGTGACGGGGTCCGCTCCAGCGAAGTCATCACCTTTGCAACAGAAGAGTGCATTTCCACACTCTGAAGGTAATTCTGTTCGCGGGAGAAATGTCTCTGTTCCTACAGAAGGGTTGGTGGATGATAGCGCTTTACTGCCAACGAGCATCCCCATGCAACAACAACAGCAACAGCAACAGCATCCACCACCACCACCACAACAACAACAACAACCACAACAACTGCCAACCATGCAAATGCCTCCTGCGGGAGGAGGATATTACGTTAATCCAGCAGCTTTTCAGGCCATGAACATGGCGCAAGCTGCAGGACGTGCGCAGGTTCAGGCTCAGCCAATGATGTTTGCTCAACCAAACGGGCAAATGATGTACGTTCGGATGCCGTACTACCAGCAGAGTCCCTATCAACATGGACATGCTCCGCAACAAATGTACCCAGCTCCACAAAACCTTTACTATCCCACCACTTACTTCATGCAACCTTCTGCAGATGGCTCAATAATGCATACCGTTCCACAGGCTGTACAATGTTTCGCACCACCAAAGCAGTTTGCAAGGGGTGGAACTGCAGGTACCCAACCACCACCACCACCACCGCCACCAGCAACACCACAACAGCAGCAACTACAGCAACAACAACAACAACTAGTTGATGTCAATGATGCTCAAGGTGGATTTGTTTGTCTTTTACCAGGGACTCAGTTGCCACAAGGCATGCCATTCTTTCCATATGGTGTACGACCGACACACTGTTTTGCAACTGCGCCAGCAAGGGAACATTCTTCAGAGCCTCCTCAATATAATGTTGCTGTAGCTCAAATGACTTCGCAGTTTGTTGGTACAGCTGTTGGTACTGAGCTTGATGAAAGCATGCCGGCACGAGAGAATAAACAAAATACAAATACTCTGGCATGCACATCATCTGAGCACTCGAATTTTGTTCCTGACAATGCACTTGGTTCTAACCTGCATGTAACACCTGGAAATGATGGAGTTTCCCCCGTCTCACTGCAGGGCTCTGATGGCGTCATGAACGCGTGACTTGCTTTTGCGGATGACGAACTGGGTGCAACTGGTTTAAGCGAAGAACAAAAATAATAATAATAATAAGAGTTTCTAATTATATAGGAGCGTTGATGAAATGAATTTTTTTTTTTTTTTTTTAAAGGTGTGACATAATAATGGAAAGGCGCGAAGAAAAGAAAAAAAAATTGATTGAATGCCAAATGGGCCGAAAGAAAAAAGGAAGGAAAAACCAAGTCTGATGGAACAAAAAAAAAAAGAAAATGTAGAAAGAAAAATGGATATGGTGATCACTTATTTATGACGTTGCAGTTTTTCTTTGTTTGTTCTCACCAGGAGCTTACTTGTTTTTTTTTTTTTTTGTTTTTTTTTTTTTTTAAATGAAATTTTTATTTATTTTATTTCTTTGTTTTTATCTTTAGTTAATATCCACCACGGAAGTTGTTGTTATTATTATTGTTATTATTATTATTATTATTATTATTATTATTATTAAGCTCGAAGTAGCATGGGAAAATAATAAAGAAAAATAGAACATGGCTTTATCTGCCTTCCCCTTACCAGCATTTCCTTCTCCTCTGGTGAGAGTTATGTGCATATCTGTGTGCTTTTTTTTCCCTGTATTGTAGTAACACGCGACATAAAAGGATAATAAAGCGGTAAAATTTCTTATATGTACGATGGGTGGGTATATTGTGACCATCGCGGGTATTCTGTCTGCATAAATAAGTAAGTAATATATATATATATATATATATATATATATATATATATATATCCACGTTAAATGTCTGATAATGAGAATTTTCTTGAATATGTTTGCTTTTTTTTTTTTGTTTTACTTGGAATTCTGTACGTTTCTCTATTATTGNATATATATATATATATATATATATATATATATATATATATAAGTACATCCACGTTAAATGTCTGATAATGAGAATTTTCTTGAATATGTTTGCTTTTTTTTTTTTGTTTTACTTGGAATTCTGTACGTTTCTCTATTATTGTCTGTGTAAATATATATATTTTTTCTTTTTCTCTTGAGATGCCTCTCGTAAAATACTAGTACTACTACTGATAAATAAATAAATAAATAAATAAATAAATAAATAATACTAGAAGGGATTGACATGCGGCGTTTTTTAAGGAAACCGCTGCTTTATTCAAGACAGCGTAGGTTTCTCGTGGATCCGCAGCTTTTCTTTGAGCTTTATGGGAGAAAACCTGATAGTACAGATGAACCCACAGTGAGTGCGAATTCTGCGGGTGATGATCACTCTTTACCGTCTGAGTCATCACCGATGGGAATACACGCACTTGGTGAGTTCTTTTCCCATCTTTACGCAACACCAAATGAGAGTCTTAATCGTTCCGTTGTTGTAAATGCATTGGAGGCGTTAAATACATCTTTATCACTCCCACTTAACCGTCGAGCTCGCTTCAGTGAACAACACTGTATATATGCAAGAGATGTATGGAAGTATGGTGAGAGGTATGATTTTCATATCGCTGCATTATATGTTTCTGTACTATATTATGGTGGGAAATATGATGAGGTGATTCAGTATGTAGAAAAACACTGGTCATCTGAAACAATATCAAAAGTAGCATCATCAAGTACACTTGACGTGAAGGATACATGTCATGCTTTACGGTTGTTTACTGTATACGTACTTTCCTGCTCAAAGAGTAAAAATCATCTTAATACTTTTATTATTAGTAGAGTGAAAGAAGTGGCTGAAGGTTCAATACGTATTTTGAAAAGTAGTACATCAACTGAGACTGTACGTGAGTATACTCTATTATTATACTCATTGGATTGGTATTTTGTTCATACTGATTATGTTAATGAACGAGAAGTTCTTTCTTCTATTTTTATACCCTTATTACCTAAAAAATTAACTCCTTATCTTTTCATTACATCATCTGATATTTCTGATGATGTAAGAAAAGGTTTAACTCCTTCTATTCTCTTTCAAAATGGTAAACGACATGCAAAGGATGGAGATAAAGAAGGTATTCAACGACTTTTCAGAGATTGTCAAAGACGTGAAGAAAAGAATGAAGGATTTCGTTTATTTCTACTTTCCCCACAATTGGGAGAATTAATGTCTCAGATTTCAGGTATGGATGATCGTGTAATGTCAGAAGTTGTTACATTTTGTGGAACTTCTTTGAGTTGTGAGGCACTCAGTAAAATTGGTTTAAAAGAACGCTCTCGATCTAAAGTTCTACAAGTACTTGGAAATATGAAAGGCCCAGAAGCTTATTTTGCGGCTCGTCAAGTTCTTTTTCACCAGAATATAGAAGAATCATTAGTATTTCAGCAAAAATATGGAGATATCCTTTCTGGAGATCCACAACTTGAATGGCAAACGGCATTAAAATCAATGAAAGAGTCTCTTGCATCTGGTGATATGAAGTGGCGTAATAAATTGCCAACTGTATTGCGTTTATTAAGTGATGCGGGTGAAACTGGAAAATTCTTTAATCTTCTTCGTGAAAGTCATAGTGAAGGTGAGAATGGATCTCTTATGATAGCTTCTGCGTTAGCACAAACTGTTCGTCGTTCTGAACGATGGTGGCATGCATTAGAAGTACTGGACGTGATTGCCACCTGTGAACATCCTCGAACCGTTGAGGATGATTTATTTCTTAAGGATGCTTGTCTACAAACTATGTATGCCTTGAGAGATGCCAAACGATGGAAAGAAGCACTTCATTTTTATAATTCTCTCGTACCTGTAATGCCAGAATCTGCACATCGAGTTCTCTGTTCTGTTGTGTGTGGAATGCCTGCCTCTTCACCATGGCAAGAGGCGTTATCAACAGTACAAAAGTATGGTGAAGTACCTGAAAAGTTTTTGACGACTCTTCTCTGTGCTAGAAATCCTGATCAAGTGGATATTTCACAGCAAGTAAATCCTCGTTCTTGGCGATATATTCTTCAAGGATATGCTGATGGTGGTCATTGGAAACATGCTTTGCAGTTTATTAAAAAGATGAAACATGTGGATTTTAATGCATGGGTTTCAGTTCTTAGAGCAGCACAACGTGCACCATTTGGTTCACTCTCTTCAAACATTTTTGAATCTCTTGATGAAAATGTTTGGAATAATACTGCTTTATTGAGATTAACTGTTTTAGTGGCAGAAGGACACGGATATTGGAAAGAACTCTATAAAAATATGGAAAAATACAAGAATAATTCCTCAACTTCTGAATATCATGCATTAGTAGGTTTTTTTATTGATGGAACTCTACCTTCTACGGAGATGGTATTTACAGATGAGTATGTTATTCACCGATTACTAATGTTTCCTATACCTTTTGTAAAATCTTTATCCATAAATATTTTGTGGACAAGGAAAACTCGAGATATTTTTAATAATACATATCAAAAAGATATGAAAGCTTTTATTCAAAATCATTATAAGGTTCATCTTTCCTGTTTGCCAAAGAAAAAGAAGAATCAATATGATACACAAATTAATGTTTTTACACTTTCTTCTATTGCTCCTCAGGCACCTTTAACAGGAAATAATACACTTGTAACCGTATTGGATCATCTTATAGTGGCATATAAACCACCTGGTATACTCTCACATAGTTTTGCCCGTTCAGTGGCTCAAAAAGGTCAAGTGGGTACAATGTACTCTCTTGCCTATTTACTTCCTCCTTCTTCTTGTGGTTTAATTGCATTAATAGACTCTTCTATTCCCACTAAATCTATACATTTAGTGATGAAAGTCTTGTTACGATTGTGTGCAGTAGACGCAGTGTCATTACCTCTCTTGTCCACAGAGTTTTTCGTTTTGTATACGATGGAAGTATTAGAAGGTCCTTCTTCTGATGGTTGTATTGCCGTTATGGCTACATGCTGTTCTGATCAAGATGGACTACTCGCCGGATCACTGTACCTCCTACAAGAGAGTATTGTATCTGAGGGATGGAGAATTATAGGGTCAGATGAGGAAAAGGGAAAAAATTCTACTGTTAATGGTGATTCTATACACCTCGCAGAGCTTTGTGTTTTTATTCAGAACACAAATATTGAAGGGTTTCCCATGCATTTTACTATTTCTCGTCCCCCTTCATGGATCAAACTATTGCCAGAGGAATGACACCTTGTTATCCATTTGCATTAGAAAGTTTTTTTTTTTCTTTTTTGAAATTATTTTTCTAGTTTTCTCTGTATTCCACATGGTTTGCAGTTGTAATTATATACATATTATACATAAATAATTTGTTGTTATTTTTTTTTTTTTTTTCTTTTTGCACCGTAACGCGCATATATTTTAACTAAATGGTGTATTATTAATCATATGTGTACACACTCAGGGAAGAAAAAAAAAAAAAAAATATATATATATAAAGTGTTATTCTTTATGTTCTTCCTTTTTGTTATTCTTTTTTTTTTTTTTTGTTGTTGTTGTTTTCCTTTTTTTTTTTTTCTTTTTTAGTGTTGATACCCAACCAGTGCTAGTGGTTTTCTTCCTGTTTACAACAAAACCATGGAGCCTGTAACTCTCACAGTCAACCCAGGTGCAGAGGGGGCATATAACTCTGTTACAGATGCAATAAATAATGCTAACGTTGGTGATACAGTTGCTTTGAAACCTGGTTTGTATGAAGAATTGCTTAAAATATTAAAGGAAGTTACAGTCGTTTCGGAACCAGATGATTCACTTGCAGAGAGTGAAGCAGTCATTACAAATGGAGTTGTGATTGGAGCTAACGTTACACTAAGAGGATTGCAAATTCGTGGAAGAATAGATGTTCGTAAAGGTCATGCTGTTATTGAAGACTGTGACATTCATCACGGAGCTGATGGTGTTCGTGTGGGAGAAGGTGCAAAGTTAACCATTCGCCGTTCCAGAATTCATCATTGTGAAACTGGTGGAGTTGGTGTTTATTTTTCTCCTGGTTCTTCTGGTGAAGTGGAAGACTGCGATATTTATGAATGTCGTGTAAATGGTATTCAAGTCAATAATGCTGTTGTTACTATTGGTAATAATCGAATTCGGGATACTATATTTGGTGTATATTACCGAGCCCAATCAACAGGTGCAATAGAAAAGAATTCCATAGAGCATGTGCAGAAATTTGGCATTTATGTAACGGATGGCAGTGATCCTGTTATTCAGGGAAATCAAGTGCGGGAGTGTGGATTGCATTGTGCCTTTGTCTCTCAAGGTGGAAAGGGCATATGGACAGAAAACAGCCTTGAAGGGTCTATGCATGTTCTCAGCGGCTGTGATGCCAAGTTAGGCTCCAATCAAATAAGTGGAAAACTTGACGTGGATCCCACTCCTCTGGCTGTGTGAAGACAGAGAAAAGTGTTTGGGGTGAGGGCGGGGAGGGAAAAGAATTGTATTTCTCTCTCTCTCTCTCTCTCTCTCTTACTCGGTTTTCTTATGAGAGAAGAAGGAGCAGAGAAGGTGAGATCAAAGATCCCCCTTTTTCTTGCAGATTGGATGTACAAAAAAAAAAAAAACAACAACAACGGAAAAACAAAAGGGAAATGGAGAGGAAAAAAACAAAAGAAAAAAGAAGAAAAAGAGGAACTGGTGGTGTTGTTTTTTTTTTTTTTTCCTTGTATGAGATATTACATGAAGAGAAAAAGGATAAAAAGATAAACAGGTTTTTTTTTTTCTTCTTTTTCTTCTTTTTTTTTTTCTTACTCTATTTTTACCTTTATTGGAGTGATGATGACAATTTTTATTTGACTGAAAACAGTCAACAAATGTTATTGGTATCTTGTTTTATTACTATTATTATTAATATTAATAGTATTATTTAAACAAATGAACAAATCTATTATTTTATTTGTTTCTTTATTTATTTTTATTTTTTTGTTTCATAGTATCTGTATAATTTGGATGGAATGAATCATTCAGCCACCGATTATCCTGATAAGGAAGATAGTCATGGAGGGACATTCTCGGATAGTATTGGTATACAAACATATTCATTAAATACTAGTTTGGGAGGTTTACATATTATGAGTAGACTTAATAATGAGATGAGTTTAGTAGATGATGCTGCTGCAGGGTCTTTTGGTGTAGTTCAAAAGGGTATATTTGATCTTGATCGTCATTGTTACGCTTTAAAGCAAACAAAACGAATGATTTCCGGAGAAGGTGACCTACAACAACGACTTCAAGAAGTATATGCATTAAGTGCTTGTAATCATCCTAACATTTTGCGTTACTTTGATGCTTGGGTAGAAGATAAGACTGTTTATGTGCGTACAGAATGGTTTTCAGAGAAATCTATCGCAACATTTAATCGTCCTGTTCCGGTGCCACTTTTATATTCTCTTTTACATCAAATAGCTTCCGCATTGCATTGGCTTTCCTGTCATCATATTGCCCATCAAGATGTGAAACCGGAGAATATATTAGCTCGACGAATGGAAGATGGAACTTATACATTTAAGTTAGCTGATTTTGGACTTGTTCGTCCTTTATTTGAAGAACGTTTAGACACGGGTGAAAGGTTTCACGGTACAAACGATGATGATGGGGATAAAAGGTATTTATGCCCTGAAGCTTTTGCAATGTGTCCATTTAGCCCACAACATGGGGAAGCAGATGTGTATGCATTAGGAGCTAGTTGTGTAGAGTTAATGGGAGGTGATCCCTCACTTGTACGTTCTGGACAATACACTGGAGAGTTTAGTTCATATTCACCAGAGTTACAACAATTAGTACGTCAAATGACAAGAAGTGATCCAAAAGAGCGTCCTGACCCTTTTACAGTGGCACAAAGTACACTTCCACCACAGTTACTACAGTCATCAGCGGAGGAGATAGCATGTCGACAGGCTTCGCTAGATAAACTCCGTGATAGTGTGAAAGAGCTTGAGAAGGAATTAGAAGCTCTAGAGACAGTGGTGAAACAGGATGAGGAAGATAATAAAGAAGATGAAGAAGAAGAAGGAGGAAAAGGTACGATAACTCATGACAGTTAGTTTTTATTATTATTTTGTGTTTGTTGTCGTTTCTATATATATATATATATATATATATATATATGCATTCTTTATTTTAATGTTTGAAAAGACGTTTGTTATGATAAAGAGCAAAGAAGGTATTACAAAAATTAAAAGCGGTGACGAAAATAGCATTGCTGTTGATTTTTTTTTTTCGAGTTAAATTGGCCCATTCTTTGAAAAGAATGGGAGAATACCAGGAAAGACCACTTGTCTTCCCCTACTCTGCTTTTATCGATACATAGAAAAGAGTTTCCCCCCCCCCCCTATTATTATTTCCGTAGTTGATATTGTTATTATTATTATTATTATTACCATAGTTATTTTTATTGTTACTATTATTATCTCTTTTTTTTTTCCCCCGCTCTTCACATTCCTCTCTATTTCTTTCTACTTTCTCTTATTACTCCCCTTTACATCTTTTTTCTTTCTCTCTATTTCTATTTCTCTTTCTTTAGGGAAGTAAGGTGTAGATTACTCCTACCTTCTTTCTTTATTTATTTCTTTCTATTCCTCCTCCTTTTCTACTCCCCGTCTCGGCCTTTTCCCTCTTCCTCTTCCCTCCTCTCCCCGCCGATGGGCTCCAGCGAGGTTTACGCGGAATCCTCCGGGCAGCGGTACCGGCTGCAGGTGCTCGCCGACTTCCGCGCTTTCAAGGACTTCGCCCTCTCCACAGAGGCGTGGGCAACGCACTACAAGGACTCTGTCATTACAGTGGAGTCACGGGCACCGCAGGGACGTGCAGGAGGCCTTAATATTGTGCGTGTCCGTCGCGAAATGCGGGGAATCCCTTGTGAGGACCTTTATGATAACCTGCATGACGCTGATTTTCGAGAGGTTTGGGATGATAATATGCTTAGTGGCTACAATATAGTGAAACTAAATCCCCACAATGATATTGGATATTATGCGGCTAAGTTTCCATGGCCTTTGAAAAATCGTGACTTTTGTAATATGCGTTCATGGATGGAATTTAGTAATGGAGATTTTATTATATTTAATCATTCTGTTACTCACAATGATTGTCCTGTGAAGAAAGATTTTATTCGGGCCAAATCAATTCTTACAGGTTATTTAATTCAACCATTAGATGAAGGTGGATCTCTCCTTACTTATATAACACATAGTGATCCATGTGGATCTATTCCGCATGCTATTATTAATTTTACTGCAACTAGACTTGTACCAAAATTAATGAACTTATGTGAACAGTGTTCTAAAGATTACCCAGAGTTTGCAAGAACACATCACAGTGTACCCCGGGATGCTCTTCCATGGCGTACTCCAAAGATGAACTGGGATAGTAAGTATAATTTTCCTGAAGATGAACTGGCTGCTAAGGCGGCAGCAGCAGCAGCAGCACCAGCATCGACTGCTGAAAATATGGACAATCAGGAAAATAATAATGATGAAAATACAGGTAATCAAGGACAAGGAAATACAACAGCAATAACAAATGGATCATTACCGCGACACCAACCTTTAGCGGTAACTGGTGGTAGGATGACAGAGTCACTGTCTCTTGCACCGGTAGCACCCAATCGAGATGATGATACAGTTGCTCTTCAGCAATATAGAGCACTTATGCAAGATGCCATGAATACTGTCGATAGAACATTTTTGCAAGATGGAAGGATGCCCACGCTAACGGATTATTTAACACGAATGGCATTCATTATTGATGGCATTAGACAAACCACACCACAATAAAAACTTTCGAAACCGGTTTTTACTTACTTTCAGCAATTTAGTAACATTATACACATACACATAAAACTGTATATATATATATATATATATATATATATATATATATATATATACAAATACCTCAAATATTTACTGTGTACGTGTATGGTTGTATGGTATCTACATGTGTATGTGTGCCTGAGAGGATCTTACTCTCATTTTATCTCCCTGTTTCTTTTCTCTGTTCCCGGTAGAAAACCGTGCACATACATGGGGTTTGAAAAAAATACCATGTTAATGGTCGGCGCACTGTGGTTTTTTCTTTTTTTCTTTTGTCCCCACTTTTGTACATGGTTCTTCGAAAGATACGAAATAAAAAAAAAAAAAAACATGGAAATGAAAGTTTCTTAAATATATCTCACTAACTTTATTATTACTTTTTTTTTTTTTTTTACCGTTTCTTCTTGTTTCATTTCTTTTTTTTTTTTTTCTTTCTCTCTGTTTTCTTCGCCTTTCCCCCTTTTTGAGCCTCATGGACACAACTTTTGTTCTTGACTATGGCTCCCACACAGCGAAATACGCATCTTTCTCCAAATCTGATAAGACATCCTCTTTTGATGTTGGTGTAAATGAAGTACAGAGTCGAGCTTTTGTGGATGATGAATTAGATGTGGTGGCGTTTGGAAAACACTTGGCAGAATTAATCTCCGAAAACTGTCCAGCTGATGCCGAATTGAACCTTTCATTACTAATAGATGTTTTGCTACCACGACGGAAGCGAGAATTACTTTTAAAATGTTCTTTTGAGTATCTAGGAGCTAAACAAGTTTTTCTCGGTTACACAGCCGCTACTTCTCTCTTTTCAGTTGGTGAAACTACAGGTATTAGTGTAGATGTTGGATACCGCGGTGTGCGTGTGGTTCCTGTTGTGAGTGGTGTTATTCAGACAGCGCTCTCTGCGGATGTACAGAGTGTAGGGGCACGCAATACGGATCGGGTATTACGTCAGTATATTCCTAGCGCTAATGAATCACTTCTTTTTACATTAAAATCGAATGCATGTTTTATTGGTGATAAGACTCCAACCTTACCATCACACATTACACTACCGGATGGAAATAGTTTACCATTTCCTTTATCTTTTTCTGCATGTCGAGAAGCCGGTGAGGCGTTATTATTTCATCCACCCTACACTCGAACTCCTGATGTTTTACAATATACACATCAAAAGTGTTTACTAGAGTTTCCCAATATGAAACATTGGGTACTTGTAGGTGGGGCTTCTTCTATTAGAGGTACGCGTGAGATTCTTCATAGTTCGATGAGTCATACTATTATACCTCAAAAAGAGCATTTTCATCAACTGCAGGTTAAGACACCAATGCAGGCAGCGATATCAGGTGGAATTATTCTCTCACAACTCAGTAGTTTTAAAGGTATGTGCGTAAATGTGGAAGAGTATGCGGAAGAAGGACCGCATCGTTGTGTTCATCTCAAATCTGTTGATGGTAGGTGAATAAAGTGAATAATGGAGTTTCTGTGAGTAGTGCTGTGGTGTGAATGAAGTAAAATTATACTGTGAACTTTTTATATATTTATATTTCTTGTTATCATAATTTGATATCATTCTGTTTGTCTCTCCGTATGTTAGTTATTATTATTATTATTATTATTATTATTTTTTTTTTCCTTTTTCTTCTTCCTTTTCCTTTTTTTTTCTCGTTTCAGTCTTTTCAAGAGTTTCTTGGAAGGAATAATAGTGTACGTGCACTGTGTACACGTGATTTTGTGTTTCTTTAGGAAGTGAATAGAGTGTACCGAGAGGCATATATATATATATATATATATATATATATATATATATGAGTATATTTCGGAAATTACGCTGTCGATTGTTGGCGAGGTATGAACTAATGCGAGCGAGAATGGCCATGCGGAGTATTGCCGATCACGAGTTAATTGGTCGCTACTGCGGTCTGGCGTTATTTCCCTTCACTTTGTACATATGCTGTGGGAGCATGCAGACATATAGAGTGAACCGTGTGCAGGAGGCATTGTCAAAACGTGGCAAGTGAAATGAGTTGTCACTGTATCGTTTTTTTTTTCTTTTTTTTTTTCTATTCTTTTGACTGTTTATCTGCATTTGTGTATTTGGGATATCATGTTACTTTGTGATGTTGATAACGGAATATTCAACATCTTGGTGAGAAGTTAAGATACAGAAAGAGTGTGATGGAACTATAACGAGTTTGGGGATAAAAAAGGGGATGGGGATATGGTAGAGAGATGCATTCATCATCATATATCCTTTTCTTTTTTTTTTCTATTTCAATAATTTATATACTTTAATTTTATTTTTTATTTTTTTCTTCTTACTCATTCACTGGAATGATAGAGCGAGATTTAAAGTGGTGGCCAAAGAAGTAGAAAAGGCAAAAAAAAAAAAAAAATAGAGTTTTACTCAAATAACAACAACAACCAAAGTAAAAAAAAAAAAAAGGAAAAAAAAGAAGAAAAGAAAGCAATAATAATAGAAAGAATACCATAGCAGTAGAAGGAGAAACAAAGTAAGAAAAAAAAAGAAAAAAAGTACAAAGATGTTGTCAACAAGTGGACGAGTGAAACGTAAGAATGCCACTCCTATGCAGAAGATCACTCAACCAAAAGCATCTGTGGTAGATCAATTGGAAGAGGCACTGCAGGCACGTGATTTCTCTAAAGCCACCACAATGTTGGAATTCTATAAAACAACCAATCAACCTGTTGGGGATCTTCCTATCAATCCATGGCTAGCGTACAGTGCATTTCATATGAATGATATCGGGAAGGCATTAGATGTGTATAAAGAATTGCTATCACTTGAACACTGTGATCCTATGCATTATGTTCACATGGGATGTTGTCATTTTATGAATGGATCCTACAAGGAAGCGGAGGAATGCGCAATGCGAGGTCCAGATTGTTCACTTAAAACACGTTTGATTTTTCATATTGGACAAAAAACATCTGATGAAGATAAATTGCTAGTTTATCATCAGAAACTAAAAGATACTGTTGAAGATCAACTTTCTTTGGCTGCTATGCATTTTTACCGAGGTCATTTTCAAGAATCTATTGATGTTTATAAACGTATTTTACTTGAAACTCGAGAATATTTGGCACTTAATGTTTATGTAGCAATGTGCTACTATAAGATGGATTACTATGACGTTAGTCTGGAAGTATTAAATGCATATTTACAAGTACGTAGTAATAGTGCTACTGCTATTAACTTAAAAGCATGTAATCACTACCGTTTATATAATGGAAAAGCAGCAGAAGCAGAATTAAGAGTACTTATCGATTTACAACGTTCTACATATAATGTTGAAAATGATATTGTTAAACACAATTTGGTGGTTTTCCGAAATGGAGAAGATGCTCTTCAGGCGTTACCACCGTTAATTGATGTTGTTCCTGAAGCTCGTCTAAACCTTGTCATTTTCCATTTGCGTCATGATCAATATGAGGAAGCTTATGAATTAATAAAAGATCTTGAACCTCTTACTTCACCAGAATACATTTTAAAAGGTGTTGTAAACGCTTTTATTGGACAAAAGTTAGAATCAGAAGAACACCTTAAAGTAACACGAGAATACTTTAATCTTATTGGTACGGCACAATCAGAGTGTGATACAATTCCTGGACGTCAATGTATGGCATCATACTTTTTTCTACTACGTGATTTCCCTAATGTTTTACTCTATCTACGTTCTATTAAACCATATTTTCTTAATGATGATACTTTTCTCTATTTGTATGGTATCGCTTGTGCTGGAACTGGTAACTTTGCAGAAGCAGAGGAATCACTTACCGCCGTTCGCTCAGAGAAAGTGAAAGCAGAATTCAGTTATACTAGCTGGTTGATGCGATCACATATTATGAACAAACACGCTAAACGTGCCTGGGATATTTACCTTAAGGTAGAAACAAGTGCAGAATCTTTTAATATCCTTCAACTCATGGCAAATGACTGTTACAAGGTATGTGCTTTTTATTATGCCGCTAAAGCCTTTGATGTCTTGGAGCGTATTGATAATGCCCCAGAGTATATTGAAGGTAAAAAAGGTGCGTGTATTGGAGTTTTTCAACAAGTCTTTGCAAATCAAGAACCGGTAGATTCTCTGTTTGATGTTATGAAAATGTTAGAAGCAAGTGTGGTACAGCACAGCAATGAGCCACAGATTGCTCAGCAGTTTGAAAGTATTCTGAAAGTAATGAAGGATTGGGTGAGGGAGAGTAAGATCAAGAGGAAGTAGAGTTTATTTATTTATTTTATTTATTTCTTTTTTTTTTTCTTTTTCAGAAAGAAAGAAAAAAAAATGGAAGTGAGAAAAGGGTAATAGAAGCAAGAGAGAAAGAAGAAAGTCTGATTGTGTGATGATGTTTGTGTTTTTTTTTTTTTTTTTTATTTGGTGTTTGTGTACATATTTGGGAAGGAAAGAGAAAGAATTGTAGGGAGTGCCAATGATGATTTGTGCCTTGCGGTGCTTCAGGGGGAACTCTATCTATCTATCTATCTATCTATCTATCTATCTACTCCTTTTCAAAGAAATGGAACAAATAAACAACGAAAAAAAAAAGAAAAACAGAAGGAATATAAGACATTAGTTGAGACGAAAGGAAATGAAAAAAATAAAAGAAAAAAAGGTATTTATCACTAGGAGATGTCCTCAAGTATGAATAGAACACACATTCTCTCACTCTTTTTTTTCCCCCTACACTATTTCTTCCTCTTTCATATTCACTTACTTTATCTTCTTTCTTTCTCTTCTTTCTTTCTCTCTCACATATGTATTGGAGAGAGGAATAAGGAGAGTTGAGATGAGAAAAGTGAATGAAAAAAAAAAAAAAAAACACTTACCTTCACCAATGTGATAGTGTGTTTCTGTTTTATATCCTTTTTAGTTTTTTTTTTTTTTGAGCGAAAAAATAAGACACAAAACATTACAATCAGTCTCTTTTATTTCCCCCAGATGTAGTGCTTGTGATGAAATTGGTATTTTATTTCCGTGTACTTTTCTTCTTTTTTTTTATATTTATTTCTTCGCTTTACTTTCTGTTATTGGATAGCAGCAGAAATGATTCATCTTGTTTCTTTTCTTTTCTTCTCTCCATATATATATATATATATATATATATATATATTTGAGAATAAGTAAAGGTAACATGTCTGCTTTCCTCCTCTTTTCTACTCTTCCTCTTCTTCTTCCTCTTATTACTGACGACCCCCTACTTTATTATTATCATTATTATTACTATTATTATTAATTAATTTATTTATTATTAGAGACACAGACGCACATATAGTGAGAGAGAAAGAGAGAGAGAGATACACTGTTTAGATGATCCGCCACGGCGCGGTGGAGGCGCCCTCAACACTGGAGCCCTCAGCGGCGGTGCTGCAGGCGATGCACGCCCTCTACTGGCGCGGTGTGTTTCTCGGCACATGCGTCGCCGTCTCCCCACGGGTACTCGTGACCGCCGGACATCATTACAACGCCGCGAAGGACGACGTCGGCGACTTCACCGTCCGACACCCACAACAACAACAACAACAACAACAACAACAACAGAAAAAAGAAAAATATAATGGGGATGAGGCGGAAGAAGAAACGCGGGTGGAACACGCTGCGAAGAACGCCGCACACGATCTGCTTGTATTGTGGGTATCCAGAGACCTGCAGTGTGTGTTACTGCGTGGATTTCTCCCGCCTGTGCAGGCGCGGGTGGCGACGGTGTGGATGTCTACAAAATGGCCACACGAGACGATTGTGTCGCCTGGTGTTGTGATTGAAAGTAGTGCGGTGAGTTGCATGGCGCGTGGAACTGTCAGTACGAGTGGCTCCAGTGGAGCACCGGTGATTGATTACTTTGGGGATCATGTGGTTGGTATGCATCTCACATCTAACACACGGGATGGATCCCGGGTCTCTGGTTTCATACCAGCGCGAAAAATTGTGGCACTTCTTTCAGAAATGGGCATTAACTGCCGAATGGTGTAGCGTAGTTCCTTCAAAATTGTGGAGGGGGTGGAAAAAAGTATATATATATATATATATATATATATATATATATAAACAGAATTACATTTTTTTTCAACAGAGTAGTTTGCATAGATAATAATTGTATTGTAATGATATACTGCTTTAGTTTCATTTCAAGTATGGTAACGTAAGACTTAACTACTACCTTTTTTCTTTAATTTGTTTTTTTTTTTTTTTTTGTTTTGTTTTTCTTTCTTTTTTCTCTTTACTTTGTAAAAAAAAAAAAAAAAAAAGTGATATAATGTCCTCCGATAATCACGCCCTTGCGTTAGCTACCGGCCATAGTGCTACAGCTGTTCCTAATGCTACTGCTAATACTATTAATGCTACTAGTACTTCTACTACTACTACAACTACTACTGACGGGTTCTACTATGCCCCATCAGAGCTTTTAGCTGGTGGTGCTGCTGGATTCGTCGAGCACTTTGCAACGTTTCCATTTGACACTATCAAGACACGTATACAAAGCGAACATTCCGTTGGTATATCGTCTGCAGTACGACACATGTGGTGTAATGAGCGCCTCACACACCTCTACCGCGGTTTCGCTCCTGTTATCTTCTCTGCAGTTCCTTCACATGGTGCCCATTTTGGAACTTATGAAGCGGCTAAACGTGTTTTTGGAGAGGACACAAATTTGGGGATTATGGTATCAGCGAGTTGTGCGGTTGCTGCGCACGACACCATCTCTACTCCATTTGATGTTATTAAACAACGAATGCAAATGGATGGTATGAGAAGATTCAGTTCATCTCTACAGTGTGCAACGAATATTATTTCGACGGAAGGTACACGTGCTCTCTTTGTTTCTCTACCTACAACTATTATAATGAATGTCCCACATTATGCCATTTATTGGATGGTGTATGAAGGATTTCTTTCTTACTTGGGTGGAGACCGTCGTGATAGAAGCAGTGAACTCGCCAAGGATTATGTTTTTGCTGGTCTCTTAGCAGGTGCAATGGCCTCTTTTGTTTCTTCACCCTTTGATGTTGCCAAGACACAATTACAACTTGGTCGTGAAACGGATTTATTGAGTGTATTTCAAAATATTATGCGAAGACGAGGTGTTCGTGGGTTCTTTGCAGGTGTTTCAGCAAGAATATTGGCTACAGCTCCATCTGGAGCATTGACTATGTTTACCTACGAAACGGTAAAAAAATATTTGGAGCGCTATTAATACGGAACGAGACTTTTTTTTTCTTTTTCTTTTTTTTTTTTTCTTACCCAAGTGCGTATTTCAACAGTAATAAAGAAAAGAAGTGGGGGTAAAAAAAGAAAAAAAATAAATAATAAGGGAATATATGCAACAGTATATCTGTTTTTTCTTTGTGTTAGATATATATTTATGTGTACCTTCTCTGAGGAATTGAATTATATTTCGGAAGCTTTTGGAAGGCATTTTTGTGGTGTTCTTGTAGACTTGGGTCTACTGGCGTGATTGGAGTTCTTTACACAAACAAAGAAAGCAAAACAAAGAAAGAAAAAAGAAAACACTTCTGACATAATGGAGGTATTCTTTTTTTTTTTTTTTTTTTGGTTTTGTTTTCTTTTGTTGTTCTCCTTTTCTTTTTGTTGACTGTTATTGATTTAAATTGTACAGTAAGCAAGGAGTTCAAATTTTTATATAAACGCAATATTAAAAAAAAAAAATCGACGATGTGTCTTTAGTGGTGATCCTTAATTGTATGATAAAAATGCAAAGCGTTCAAAATCAATTTTTTTACTTCTTATTTGATACTGTGTGGGACGTTCTATGATTTTCCCATATATGTGTTAATCACATAAGGTATCTTAACAAATATATATATATATATATATA